AGAGTTCGAGTATAAAGTTAAACAACAATGGAAGATGCCAGACCCGACATCTCAACACAATGAATACGGCAATCAGAAGGCACTCTTTGACGATATGATTGCCCTAGCCATCTCGGCTTCTCCCGCGGAGAGAATGACCAACAAGGCTTGGATGCCTCTAAATTAGTCCGTCATGCGTCTCGGATCTGTGGCAGAACTTGAAGCCGCATTATTCTTTTTTGGGGGGGAAGAGTATCGGAGACGGCGAAAGTCTCTTAGTCTTGGAATGGGTCACCGCCACCATCCAAGATAATCTGTGCGGTCCATGGAAAATTGCATCCAAAATACTTCAAGAGCCAGAGGTCGATGACCTCCTCCTGGAACACGGAGCGATGCGCGGGTCTGAGCTTTTGAAGCCATCAACTTGATAGAGCTTTGTTCCTGTTATGGTTGGCTGAATTTCCGGGAAGGGAGGAGGTAGTAACTCCAAAGATGAAGGTCTGACACATCAAGCAGCGAGGATCAAGATCAAGGTCGATGAGCAGACGCCGGCTACTTGCCGACGCTTGCATCTCCCGCTACTCACAAGATCTGAACATGGTGCAACAGTATTTCCACCATGCGTTTTGTAATACTGTCAGGAACTGCAGATCTATAACTTGAAACTGCTTTAGTTGGGGGCAAGAATGTCAGAGACAGAGACGGCAAGAGTCTCTTAGCAAGATACTCCAGACACTCCAAGCCTGCGAGATACTCCAGACCTGCGAGGCACTCAAGCCAGTAACGGCCTAGCGAGGCGTACCTGGGGCCTACATCCGACGTACCACCTCCGTCTCGCGCGAGAATGGCCTAAGGCCAAAGTGATGCTCTCAGATACGCCCACACAGCAGCCTACCACCTCTCGCGTCTATCGGTAAGCCTCGGGATGGGTCATCGCCACCCCCCCAAACCGAGTCTATGACGCTCCGTCTCTTCTCGCAAATTATGCCTCTTTCTCTAATCGAGCACGGCGTTTCAGGAAGTAGATGATGCAGAAATAGGAGGGGGAGTCTGCAGTGGGTCCCGGAACAACTCTCATAACAAAATCAAAGCCACTCCTTAACAGATGAGGATCACACAATTCCAACCATTCTTCGAACTATCAGCGAGCGAGCGTACAGTCACCGCAACCTGAACTCAGGTCAGGCAGGAGTAGTACTGCCAAGTGAACAACCTAAACGAAGGCTTCTCAGGTGTTCCCGCAAAAACAAAACAGTTGCCTGCCCGAAATGGGTTTCGTCAGGCATATTCTTTTACTCTTGACGGACAGGACTATGGAAAAGTCATGTTGCGAGATGACGTCCCATCTCCGTACGATAGCCTTCATCACAGCATGCTGTTTCAAGTTCCCGAAGGATTGGAGATTCTTGAATTTCAGAAGTTCCTACTACGCTCTCTACAGCTGCACGAATATACTCCACGATACATATTTAAAGCCGTGGGCGAGGCCTCTAGAGCCTGTGGACTACTCAAAAAAACTTGAACCACCATAAATGAAATGGTCAATGTTCACACGGGTCAATTCCGTGTCATGTCTGTGAAAGGGAGGAAAGAAGGGAATTGACTTCTTCCCCAGCCACCTGAAATCTAAGCCCAAGACAGTGCCAGGGTTGGAATTCCGGGGGAGGGATGCCCTTTGAACAGGTGCTTATTTATGTATCTTGAATGGCTGAGAGGCAATCAACATTTCTCATTTCCAACATTTCGAGCATATCGCAAAAGCGGATCGATGGAGGATCTTCTGGGCAGCACTCAACAAGTGGTATTCTCTTCCTGGGGCGTGTCTCCTCTACGCAGCATCCTGACCCGCGAACCTCCAAACACCGACCGCCAGTTCTTGCCCACATGGCTGCTCTCCTCGGAGATCCAGAACGGACATATGGCCTCTGTTCTGGGGCCTGAAGCGACAACCAGGGGTGAACCCCCATGAGACTCTGAGTCTATATAGATGGAAGCGCCGGCACCTTTACCCTGCTTATCTTCTTCCGAATTAGAAGCATTACAATCACAACCTAGATAGGCTCAAATCAATTGACTCGCCATGTCATCCTCCAGCTACGAGTCTCCACGGCCGGAAGCATAGCCTAATGAGAGACTCTGGGGTGAGAGCCGATCTCAGATCCCCATGTGTGGAGGAGAGGGCTTTACGATTTGATATTAGCACCGAACATTCTCTCACGCTGAGAAACCATAGTGCGAGAAAACATGCCCTGCGGTGATCCGGAGAAAGAATCGACCAGCCAGATAAGCCAGACAACGTTCTCATCAAGCATCCTTCTCAGACCACGTGAGCTTACTACCTTCCAAGTAATCACTTTCGTTTTCGGTCGCTTCCTCAAATGGATATTTTCGACAAAGCGATTAATATCGTGCATGTTCTCGGCAGTATGTGTTCTCAAATAAGATGGAACATCGTTCAGAGCTCAGAGAAGGCTACGCCTGTCCGTGTCTGGTTCGAGCTGAACGGAAGAATCTGTCTTCCCAGCTTCTGTTCTTCGACGAGAGCCCGATAACCAAAGAAAAACGTGAAGAAATATACAATGGAACCATCAATGAGCTTAAGTTTCATCATTTCGTCCGGATTACTGGCACTCTCATACCCAACCCCCTACCCGACGTTCTCTCGCCAAAGAAGATAATAGCCTGGAACTTGGCGACTTCTCGCTACCCGCAGTATTCACGCACTACGCCGTGGCTGGAGGGAAGGGCTACATCGAAAGGTTTACGTCCCATGACCACGATCTAATGTCTTTAATCATACTCGCGGTTCTTATCGGCATTGAAGAAAAGGGTGGAACCGAGCGCGTGTTCTCTGCCAGCCCGATCAGCTATTCTGTAGAGAAGATTCTCCGGCAAGGCAAAACTAAATATATTTCCCAGACACAAAAAAATAGTAAAAGTTTTATTAAGATTGGCCAAAAAAAAATAGAAAATCAATTAAATTAGTATAGATGAATAATGTGTGCCATTGTGGTGTTCCTTTGCTATGAATTCAGAGCGTAAAGATGTCTCACACCCGACAACATGAGAGGCTAGGTAAGAATCACATGCAACGGGTATGAAAATTTCCAGTGATAACCTGATTAAGCCCCTTAGCATCTCCTGAGGACATGGCCAAAATTTGCCTTCGTTGCCACCATTCGACAGATCATTTACGCTGGTAGAAAAAAGGGTCTTCCCATGCAGATGGCCGTATTCCTCGCAAATACGAGACCCGGGCAGACCTTTCCAACCTCCTTTACACCGATTCCAGCCTGCCGTTGGTCACTACCACAGCAGGGTGCCGTTCTCTAGGCGCAGCAGCGGTGTAACTCTGGCTGCAAAGCTCGTCCCCGCCACCAACGACGGCCAGCAAATGCATAAGCAAAGTCGGAGGTCGGGGTAGAACTGGCTCCAGTCACACACTCGGTCCCATGGATAGATGTACCAGTACTCTCTAATAGAAAAAAACACGTAATCCTGTGCCTGTAAACACCTCCCCGTCCTCGTGGCGTGCGACCACGGTGTCGTCCAGCCCTACCCTCCCATCTCATCGGACGATACACAGGTGCTCCCCGTCAAAGGACAAGGTTACAGCCGAACGGCCCTCAAAGGTACCGGTACCTCTCGCCCAATCTTCCCCCTCTCCTCGCTACACAAGAAAACGAGGCTGCCTGGACCCTGCCTGCAGCTACGAGGGGGGGCACAGATCTGCAGGTTTCCGCGACACTGTGCGCACAGTAGTGAGTCAAAAAGCAAAGAAACCCGCAGAGGATGGGGCAAAGTGCAACGGTGGCGTGGTCAAGCGCCGTTGGGCTGAACACAGAGAGAGTTGCACATAAACGGATCGGCGAAACAGGCCGGCTGCAAGTGAGCCTGAGCAGGCCCCATTCGGCCTTTCAGGTCACCTCAAAGGCTCATTCGGTCCAGCAACGGTGGACAGATTCCGGTAGCTCTCTTGGCCCGGCCGTGCAACGATGAAACGGTGAACGTGTACCGGTTTTGAAAGCGGGAGGGATGGGGATTGTGCCACAAGGCTCGGCGTTGGATTGTATCGCACGCCCCCCTTCCCTCAGAGCTGAGAACACAGATGTGTGAGAAGTTCCGGGTCTAATGCAACAACAAGCCACCAAACAATCGGTGTGGCAGCACAACTTTCAGCTTTGCGCCATGTATGTCTGCCCAATCTCACGATGGGGAGGAGAGAGAGAACAGGGGGGGAAGATGCCGGTACGCTGAAGATTGAGTGTGACCAGTCTCCAGATTTACCAAGACATCATTCTGTCTTACCGCACCAGGCATAACAGGTAGGCAATGGACCCAAGGCTGTGCACTGCATATCATCAATCGATGGGATTCGTCAAGGGTGAAGACGTCCATAGGTGAGTTTGATCCGTGTCTTGATCCCGCAACATCTTTCTTTCGCTTATGAGCTCTCTACGATCCTAATTGAGCTCATTGTTAAAGCTATTGTTGACAAAGGGAGATGTAGAGTGTTGTAGGGACGTCGGATGAATGCCTCATTTAGGCAGAGTGTTGTGTGTTTGTGTGAGTGAACCAGCATCAGGACTCGACTTTCATCGATTCCCATGGCAGAGTTTGTCAGGTCCGTGCCTTGTCCATCATCGGCGTTCATGCCCATTTCAGTACAGGGACCAAAGAAAACGGCCTTCGAATTACGGCCGGATGCTATCTCCGACGTAATGATGCTCCTCGAGATATGACTTGGCCAGCCTTGCTCTGTTCTAGGAGGATGCGCTGTGGCTATGCCCTGTTTGCCTGGATGTTTAGGTGGTCCACTCCGCTGGCTATAGACTCCACAGGCGGCCAGCAACTCACCCTCACCACCACAGACTTCAATTTAGTGAGTGAGTACGGCACAAGCCAGTGAATTATGTAACGCGTCACAGCGCTTGACGTTCTGGTTGCTGCCCGTTCTATCCATCGAGGAGGAAACATCATCTTCACATCAACCACAATGAAGGCGACGACAGGCAGCCACCATGTTCACCCTCCACAACATCCATGACGGCGAAATCGTCCACCAAAAGTCCCTTCTCCTCATCGGCCGCTACAACTCGCACCAAGACATAAACGGCCATGTCCAGGTCGAGACGGCCAACGAGGCCGGCCGCCAGACCTTCCCAACCCACAGCTGGCCAATGTGCAACGGATGGTTCAAATGCCTCGCCATTCTGAGTCCCGGCAAGAACATCATCCAGCTGCGTATCACCGGCGGCAGTGATAGCGTCAGGGTGTGCGTCGACTACGTGCCCCTTCTGGACATCCCTCCGCTTCACCTGGTCGTCATGCTGGCCGCTGACTCGCCCGGCCTGATGGACTGCCCTCCATGCAAGCCCTCCCCAGCACACTCCAACCTACACGCCGCCGTGGCCAAGCTTCGTATGGCCGCATGCATGTGGCAGGCCCTGACGGCCGAGGAGATGCGCGCTGCCGGGCTTGGCCGCCGCACCTTTCGTCTCGAGGAGCACTGGTCGGCTGATTCTCTCAGCCGGTCCTTCTCACCCGATCCCAACAGCTTGATGTCGTGTATGCGCTCCACCATCAAGGTTCATGTCGTCAGGAGCGACAAGACCGCTGCCCAGATCCGTGATCGGGATATCGCCCAGCAGTATGACGGGGCGCGGGACAAGAACGCCCTGCACGGCATCTTCCTCGACGCCATGAAGAGATACGGCCCGCCTTTCGAGGACCTTACCCGGCCCATCGTCGCCGGCTTGATCTTCGACTCCCATTACGACAAGGCCAGCAATCTCATCACCGGCCACGCCGCTCTCGGCTCACACAACCCAACCGGCATATCGCTGGGTATGTGCGGCAGCCACGTCGCCTACGCCTGGCCTCGCTTTATTGAAGAGGTCCCAGACTGTCTCCTGGACACGACACCGCCCGGAGACACGGTTGGAAATGACTGCGGCGCGTGCCTCACCAACTGGGAGGCCTGCACCGTCGGTCTGACTGCCTTTATCCACGAGGTCGGGCACGCCTTTTCGGCGCCGCACACCTCAGGGATAATGGGCGGCGGCTGCTCTCGCGACTTTCCAAAGAACTTCCTCTCGACCGTTGCGTACAGCCGCGTGCTCAACCGGCGAGACGATGTCCCCATCACGATAGACACGGATCACCTGTGCCGCTGGGCTCTGCAAGACCTCCTCCGCTTCATCGGTCTTCCCCATTTCCGGCACCCGTCTGATCCCGAGAAGAGCAGCGCCTCCGCCGTTGTCACAGTCGAGGGTCATGGTGACTCCCTGCGGCTGGTCGTCAACTGCAAGGCAGGGATCGCCGAGGTCAATCTGAATGGAACCGTGCTCAACAAGACATCCATCTCCCATCCAGCCAAGCAGGTGCTCGTTCGTATCAACGAGCTCTCACGGTTCAGCAGGGACAGCGCGCTGCAGCTCCAGGTGCTCTCCATGAACGGCAAGCATGCCGAATACCCCGTCTGGTCGATGCTGTCCCGCATGGCGCAGATACAGATCCCTGGCACCGACATCCACCTCCGAAGGAAGAGCGTCGGGCGCCCCATCGGCGAGGATGGAGATTGGCCGTGGGCCGTGCTGCTGAACAAGCGAGATCAGCGAGGTAACCTCGCCCGGGCATACAAGATTGACCTGAGGGTCGGCTGGCGGCTGGACGGCGCCGAGGTGTACTTTGAGGACCGGACAAAGATCCCCTGTGGGCGCCGCGGGCCAGGTGGGAATGACCCCGACATGGGCGGCCACATGACTCGCAAGCTGCTCATCTCGAGGAAGGCCGAGATCACAAAGGTGCTGGTTTCCAGGGTGGATCAGAACGACCTGCGTGGCCTTCGGATGTTTCTTTCAAATGGGAAGGCCATGGGCGCCTTGAACAAGCATTTCTCTCACGCAGTTGAGACGCTAGGCAAGTTTATCACACTTTCTCGCTGCCCGTATTATGCAAGTGACTTACGTCCCCTGCCTTAGTGCCTGATCAAGGCCAGATAATCGTCGGGTTCTACGGGACAACCAGCAAGCACTCGAGGTGTAACGAGTTCGGCATCATCACAGCACCAAGAAACATCCAACTCCCCGATTGGTTGTACGACATGCCTGAATTGCAAAACAATCCCCAAGATGGCTCTGGTAGCCGTCTCCGGCCAAATGATGGTCCTCGAAGATACGACCTGGACATCTCCGAAGATCAGGATGGTGGCTACGATTGCCATTTAGATGTAGAGGAGTCAGATTGATTACGATGAGCATAGATGTCTTTTCTTCTGTCTGGCGATAGATTTGCAGATAATCGTCGCTAGGTTGCTTTAGCCTAGCCATATAGAGAACCGAGAGACGGGATGCTTAATACAACAATGAAAGTGTCGTTACAACAGAACTGACAGCACTATGCTTTCCGGGCAGTGTAGGTATCGTGATACTAGGTTTCCATGCACGTATTCGTTGTTTTCGGCTACACCACTGTGATAGAATCGAGATTAAGAAACCCTTGGGAAAAGGTGGCCTTTCTGAGATTGGATTCCTTTTCGACAGGATGCACTATTACTCATAATCTTATGCTCAACAAACTGGTTTTCTTCTTGGAGAAAGCCCAAGCGGCCATCAGAAACCAGCACAGCAAGATCGAATGTTTAGATAATTGTCAAAGAGAGAATTGATTATCAATATATAATAGGGCCAGGTGTTTACGGCCTCGAACTCATCGCATTGGATTGTGTGCGAGGTAGTATAACTGTGAAGGCTTGGTTCTCTCTATCTACTGGCTGTCTCTGGCCCTTTTGTAGCTGGGTTAGGATAACCCCTGTATGAGGCATGACAGAACAGACGTGTAGAGGAGTTGTCATGGCAGTTTGTTCATGCTCGGGGTATATATATTGGAATAAAAATGCTGTCGTCCATCAAATGTCCCCGTTCAACTTGGCTTATCAAGTAAAGGACACACGGTCTGGTGGTCTAGCGGTATGATTCTCGCTTAGGGTTCACCCTAAAGCATTCTTGCGAGAGGTCCCGGGTTCAATCCCCGGCCAGACCCTTTGTTTTTTGTCCTTTTGCCCTTAAAAAGGGACGATGGGGCATGTGAAAACATCTACGCACTATCTGTCTTTGATGCGCTATCGCGGACATTAAAATTTAGCGGTAGATTTTAGTGGAACTTTTTCCCTGTTGGTGGGCATCTATCTTACTAAGCAAACAACTCCCAATCCTTGGCAATGGACAGTTAGGTCAGCCCAGCTTCCAACGTCTACACATCTACAATGAGGGAGCTGTGCCTAATTTCTTGCACACAATTTATATCGAACCGCCAGTATAAGAATGCATATTATTATGAATTTCGAACAATTACCTAATACATGAAGGTCGGCCTTGCGATACCTAAAGTTCTAATAAACCTTGAACTGGGGAAGAAGGCAAAAATAATGCACTAATTTGCTAATTTGCCACTGAAACACCCCCAATTGGAAAACGCCCGGTCATATCACATCACGTCATAATCATTAGGTACACATCCCAAACACAGGGGGATGGTGAGATAGACAAAAGAAATAGAAAAGAGAAGGAAACTTTGGTCGCCATACAGTCCTTGGGTTGTCTTGTCGACAAGCATTAATTGGTCTGTCCTGGTGGTGGGATCTGGGAGGAGATGAATGAAAGGTTCAGGCTCCTCCAGTTCCACATCATTGAGAAGTCGCCCATTACAGCGTCATTGATGGGCCCGAAGGGCATCGGCTGGATGTGGCCATCAGCTGCCGGAATGCCTGTAAATGTATCAACAGGTCGCTGTGGATTGTTGCCTTGTAGCGCCGCTGGGGAGACATGAGCAGGGTTCAAATATAGGACTGGCTGAGATGGTCCCAATGTCTGCGGATGTTGAGCCGCAAAATGAGCGTCCATGTTGCAGGGTTGCTGCACCGTGGGGTACGGGGGCGTGAGAGACTCCTGCACCTGGGGCTCCAAGAAGGCTGGCTGGTACTCGGGAGTAGGAAGGCGATTGCTTTGCGGAGTGGAGCCGCTTTCAGCGCTCTCGCTGCTGGAGGAATGGCTTGGTGGGCTGGTGGTCGTGTCTGAGCTTAGGGAGGACGGCTTCAGGTACGCCGTAGGGTCTTGGATCAGGACTGGCGCGCCATAAGCCTGGCCAGCCACGAATTTGGGAACCTCTCCGAACTTCTTTCGTTTAGATTGAACGGAGCGTCTGCGGGGAATTCGTCGAACGAGCTGGGACAGAATATCATAGGATTGCTTCGCGGTCTTTGATAGGCTGTAGATCTTTTTGAGCGTGATGAGAGCTTCGTCGATCGCGTCAATGATCTCGGTTCTTCTCGGGATGGAGTTATCCTTGTCGTTAAGAATCGCCGCCGACAAGACAGCGACAGTGTCAAAGAGGGAAAAGATGATGAAGTGGAACCGGCCATCACGATGGGACGCAATCTTGGCCCATTCTGTAGTAGTCTCCAAGTTGAGAAGAGAGTAATCAACGCCGAATTGTCGAATTGCACGCTCCTCTTGTGGGGTCTCCGGCGAGAAGGACTGGGCCAGGTACCGCCGGATAGGGTTCAGAATCATAAGGTACGCCATTGTGTGGAGATAGAATCTATGGTGTGTGATCCATGCGCTCCCATAGTCTTTGGATTCGTCTGGATTGGTGGTTGAAAAAATGGGTGGGAAGTTGCGAATCCAGGTCTCGAGGATCCCCTTGTACTCCTGAATATCCTTGGGGGTTACGACATTCTTTGGCGCCTGGAACCGGGAAGCCAACAGCGCGATTGCTTCTGACTGAAGCTTCATGTGTAGAAGCGGCGAAGGGGTGAATTCCTCCAAGGAAAGGGTCGGCTGTGCCACACTCGAGGTTCCATGGTCAATCAGCGTTGGTCGTGCGAGGCCCGAGGCGAATTGCCTAGCAGAGTCACAATCAGTAAGGCTAAAGATGATATTTAGAGCCTGCCCAGGTTGCCTACCAGTCCCACGTGTCCAGCACACACCAGACACGTCGGCGCACCTCGCGGTCGAATTCGGGAAGGCCTGCCGCTCGTGATTCGATATGGAGACCTATGCTAGGTATCAACGGATTGCTCATGTCGAGGCAGAAAGACATTCGCAATTCTTTCTGGACACTTACCTAGCTCTGTGGCCTCACCCACGGCCTCTGAGATGAGGAGGTATGCCTCTGGGAATCGAGCTTCCGACTTGAACCAATAGATTGTGTGCAGCATACGCTGAATGTTGAGGATGTGGTAACTGCCTATGGGGATTGCCGTGGACAGATTGCGGGTTAAATCAAGATAAGCCACCGTGAGGTTGTCGACCGAGTCGCCCATCTCCATCTCAATCTTGGCGCGGGTGTCGGCGTCCAGGTGTTGCGTCGTGACGGAGCAGATAATGGCAAGAAGGGCCGTCCATTCGATGGACAGAGGCTGGCTTCCGAGCCGACTGTCCCACCATTTTTGATACTGATCGAGAAAAACCGGAGGGTAAATGATGTAGTAGTGGTAATTAACTGTGTTAAAGAATATCTGCACAAGTGCATCTGTGTATTGCGACAAGGTCAGCACAGGTCGACACGATCCAGTGGAATGGTATTGTCGCACCCATCTGCGGTCTCTGAGGCAGTGCGGCCAGTGCGCGTTCCAGCGCAGGGCATTCGTTAGAGGTCCTCAAGGTTAGAGTCTGCGTTGGTGGTCGAGGCGGCTCCGTCTGCTGCAAAGATGGTCAATTCAGTATTGAATCCCCAGCCTCACAGGTCGGGGCTGTTCGAACTTACGACTCCGACGGTCTTGCTAAGCAGATCAGAAACCAGCGAGCCAGCTAGATACCCCATCTTGCTGAATGCGTCGGCGTCAATATCATCGTCGGTTCCCGGGGAATCATTGCCCTTGTCATCTTGCTCGAAATCAGCCGAACGCTTCTGGCTGGTTGAGCCAGTGGTCCGGTTCTCGCCAACGGACGAAGACTCGGAATGAGAAAAGGCGCACTTGGATGCCACCTTGCGCTTCTGACATTGGTTGCAAGGCCACTGACGGTTGCACTGTGGTTGTTGAGCGGTGGTTAGTTACAAGGCCTCGATCGAACGGGGCTCCCTCCTCCATCACCTACTTTCTGCTTCCTTCGCTGGCACTCAGCACAGGCCGAGCGATGCTGCACGGGCTGTTGGATGTTCGGGTCGGCCATGGTGAGTGGTTGAGCAGAGAGGCCAGGCTCCCAGCGATGCGCACTTGGCGGAGACCGGATTTCGTCCCAAGGAGTAGTTTTCAATGGGCAAATACAGGGTGAGGCAGAGGGACCTCGGTGGGGTTCCAGGGGACCAGGTCTAGCAAAGCCAAACACATCAGTCTGGGACTCCCTCTTAACTCCGAATTGGGAGGAGGGGTGGGGACCATTTTATCTTACATGCCGGTGACAAAAACGAGATGCTAAAGTCAAATCCCGATTGGCACGAATGACAGCCATTGACAGGTCAGCATCCGGGTGGAGGCGACTTAGCGGGTGGAGGCAACGCGAGGAAACGGGAGGCAGACGCTTTCGCACTTGTTATTTTAGACTCGAGGCTTGCGCCAGCCCCCAAGCTAAGGGGGTGTTGGTGTTGAGGGGAGGGGAGGGGAAACCGTGACCGGTGGAAGGGCTCCCAGGGTAGGGGGGAGCGGATTTGCATATTTAAGCAAGGGCTTCCATGGCAGATCGACTCAGCCCCGTGTGTTGAGCTGGGACGCTTTGACCTTGGAGATCAAACGGAGCGGCATACAGGCTGTTGTGCATTGTGACACCACACCCGTTAACAGTACACCCATCCATCTGTGCACTGTATCAGAGCACGCCAAGACTCTGTGGCCATCTCGACATGCAGCCGCGGCCCAAGAGAGACACGCAGCCGTAGGTGTGAGTGTGAGCAGGTGACGGCTGGCGAGAGTCCGAGCGAGAGTGAGGCGTGCCTTGAAGTGGGTTTGATCAGGTTCGGCGACATCAACTCAAGCCTTCTCTCCGTGGGACTACGCCGACCGCACTGAGCGATGGCTGCGTGTACAGCCGACGTACCTAGATTTGGGATTAAGACAAAGCAATATCGACTGCTTGGTATGCTCCTGAATGATGGACCAGGCCTCTGAGAGCTCCATGTTGCCGCCACTGCCATTTTCCCAATAGTCTTATCCGCCCAGTGGCCAGGAGAAACGCGTCGATCTGGGTGTCCCTTTTTGTCCCACTGCCTTCCCAGCCATAAGCCCCCTTCATCTGGGGCCCCAACACACGGCACAATAAATAATTCATTGCTTTGGCAACAATCGAGCTCGACCCCACGTCTCAGGCAAGTGAACCAGTCTGGATAGCTGCACTCTCTGAGCCTCTCTCCCCTCTGTCGGTAGCTGAATTGGTCGAGACCCTGCAGAGCCCCTGAAGAGCGGATCTACCGGCTGGGCAGTAGCCGATGTGGGGAATCAAGATGTCCTCTGCCCCTCGGCCTCGTGACAGTGCCTGGCGTCAGGTTGGATGCCAGAGGCAGCGGTTGGCAATTGCAACTTAACCCAAGGTAATCGCTCGCGTGACATAGATAGTAAATGTATGGTGAGGCTTTGGTGTGTGTTGGAGACGCGCGGGCGATCGAGAACGGCAATATCCGTTTCAAACCGTTAGTACCAAATGTTACTTCCACAAATTACCCACCTCGTTGGCAGGCGTGTTTAAGATCAATTTTGAAATGGTAGATGGGCCGTCTGGCTTGAGTCATCAAAGGCGGAAGATACCGAGGCATTCCTGGCCTCTGTGATTAGTGAACGCTATATTGATTCGATTGTGTTCAGGGAAACTGGACAATGGCCAAATCCACTATGTTTCCGACTGATCTTCGGAACGGACCCGTGCCTTCATCTGGTGGTTCGCGGATAGAGCTTACCTAGCTCAACAGGGGGTGTTGGTGTGAGCTAGTTCGGGCTTTACTTTCGTAGACGTCAATGAGCGATGGATCTTTGCGCACTGGCCGTCGGGCGGGCGACATTTTCTCGCTCGAGCCTTGACGCTCAATGTTGGTGGCTTGGTGGCTTGTGTTGGTGGAGATATACCTCATGTCCCCTGAGTCGAAGACGTGATTCATCAGTTCCCGTGCCCACTCGCGGGCGAGACAGCAATCGAGAACGGGGGAATGCACCGGGCAATTGAGAAATTTCATTCTTGCACATTTCCACTCTCTCTGAAAGGGCGAATATCATAAATGGCCTGATCGAGGAAGGAAGGAGCGAGGGAAGGATGAAGAGGGGTTGTGGGAGGCTGTAGGGTAAGGCATGTGCGTGTACCGAGGTGGGCAGGAGCGTTGCTCAAGGGGCCACACACAAGATACGGAAATTACGGGTAGCTACTGCGTCGCTGCCGTTGATTGCTTATATGAGACGGGAATTGTGCCTCGGGTTCCCGCAGGGTGGGAAGAAGCCGCCGCGAGTCCTTGAACACGACTACATATCATCCGCAGGTAGCAAAGTGCGGACGTAAGCTGTGTGCAGCTCGCCATACCTAGCGGTGATGGCGGTGGTGCGGTGCGCTGCTCCTGGTGGTGGTTGCCCCGTGGAAACGAAGTGGATACCTAACCGGGCCGGCTTCTTACCTAAGATGACCGCTTGGCCACCTGATTGGCCACTTCTGCGATTCCCCACCTGTCCAGCTCTTTCCTTGACAGCTTCGTTGTTGACGTCCTCAATCACCACGCACCAAGTTCCAGCGCCATCGCGTCGCATCCTGTCGCGAGCATCCATCACCCCAAGACTCAATTCGCACACTTCCATCCTGCGAAAAGCGAGTCGCGCAACTATGGATATCTTTCGCAACATGTTTAGCCCACAGAAGCCCGCCGAACCCGAACAGCCACAGCGCGCGCCGCCGCCGCCGCCGCCGCCGATAGAAGCGCACCTGAACCGCGTGCAAAAGCCGCGCCAGAAGGGCAGGGCAGCTTCGCGCAAGGGTGCTACTAGGGCGCCGCGACTCCCCGCGCGCATATTGGGTAGCCCTGAGCTGGGTGAAGAGGTATGAACTTTTATTGACATTTGATTTTCCCTTTTTTGTTTTACTTCCTCGCTTCTCTCTCTCTCTTGCGGTCGCTGGGGCTAACGCAATTGGTTTTTGTCGCCTCAGGAGCCCTCCAAAGTGTCCCGTCGGCATTCTGAATTCCCCCGAGCATCCGCCCGACTCAACGATCTCTCATCCGATGACGAGCACAACCAAACCATCGCCGAGGGAATCTCCGTCTCCGTCACCCGCGATGATGGCGCAGACTCCATAGCCTTTGCATCCCAGCCGGCGCATTTGCGATCGCTCCTTAATTCGACCCAAGAGAATGAAACCATCGTCAGCGAAGACCCTGATGAAGAGATGGCCGATGCCATTGACCAGCCAGTCGATGAAGAAGACAACGAGGACGAAGACGTCGTCATTGGTATGGAGGAGTCGGAACTAGATGACGAATCCGATGAACGAGCCGAGAAAGAGTCTGATATTAAAATCGAGTCGAAAGTTAAGATTGCTGAGACCCAGGATGACATTTCTGCGATTGTGTCCGAGGCCACCCCCCTTCCTACAACCGAGTCCGCCTCTGAAATCACACCCGCACCTGTTTCTGAGGCTGGCGCAACTGAACTATCAGACCTCGCCGAAGTGAATACTGCCGAGGTAGAAGACGAGGCCAAGGAGGAGGAAGAAGAGGAGGAAGAAGGAGACCTCACAATCAACAGAGGGGACGGACAGCATTCCTTCACTGATATCCTCGATCATCGTTGGGTGGGCGATGAGGTTGAACTCAAGGTTGGCTGGTACCGTGGTTCCCCGACATGGGAGCCAGAGACTATCCTTCATTCCGATGCTTCCGAGTCGCTTTTCTCGTATTGGCGTAGCCAAGGCGGCCGTCCGACGAATCCTCGCGACGCAGACATCTTCGACATTTTTGCCATCCGAAATCATAGCCGCGACAAGAAGAAGCTTTTGGTCGAATGGACGGGCTACGAACCCAAGGAGAACTCCTGGGTTCCGAGCAATGTGGTCGAGGACACTGCGCCCGAGGTTGTTGCTCAGTACTGGAAGAGCATCAAAAAGGCGCCCGAGCCAAAGACTGCCAAGGGTAGGGCTACAAAGGCCAAGGCCACCAAGGCCAAGACCACCAAAGCAAAGACTTCCAAAGCAAAGGCCCCGACAACGAAGACGCCCAAGTCAAGAGTCTCCAAGACCAAGGCACCAGCTAAGCGCAAAAGGTAAATGGGGCAACTGGGCGGGGATTTGGTCGATGGGATTTGGAGTTGAGGTTTAGCAGCATGGCGTTGAAGGGTTCTCTTGTTGCTATTTGGTTGCGAGGGTTTTCATTATTAGTACTGGGGCATGAGGTTACAGAAGTGTCCATGTGGCACCACCCTTCGGAGGGGTATGAACAGGATCTCGAGATACGTGTACATTCAGAGGGCAGCGCCCGTGATCGTTTTCTTCTTCATGTTTGTTATTTGCTTGTTTGTTTTCTTTTTCTTTCTTTCAACACGGTTGAGCCATATTTCATTCATGCGGGCAGATAACGCTATTTGGCATGCAACTGGTCTGACCAAAACATTCAACCCTCTTAATCATAGAAACCAAGTATTTCACCCACTACGCTGCGGTAGAGTCCATCCGGATCAAAGTCCTTGCGCACGGCGTTGAAGCGTGAGAGGTACTGTGGCACATTAGCACTCCAAAGCGAGCAAGGGAGATATTCTGCCTCCCACTTACATCGGGGTCTAGGTTCTTCACTGCTCTTGTCAACACATCGCGGGTGTTCTTCGTCCAGTGTGGCCGGCAGGGGAACTCGTCCACCAGGGTATTAGCCAGATTGATATCTACAACTGTCAGATCAACGTTCACACGAACCCAAAAGAAAACAATCAGAGTGACACGTACAGAACTCCTCGTTGTACCGCTTCTGGTCGCCAACGGTCGGCCGATACGTGGGGAAGTCAAACATGATGGTCCCTTGGCTCCAGTCCTCCCCGTCCACCGTCCCCGTCGTGACCTGGCCCAGGAAGTCCTTGTGCGCCTTGGCGAACTTGATGTTGATCCCGCTCCGGTACGTCGAGCTCATGATCTTGAGTTTCCTCGCCTCCGCGTCGAACAGCTCCCTCACCCGCCGCAGCATCTCGCCCGCCCGCGTCACGGGGAAGGCCAGCTCGAGGGTGTACCCCTTGAGCCCGCGCTCCCACACGGGGTGCTGGTTCGGGTACAGCCCTCCGATGAGGACGTCGTAGTTCCAGCCGTAGACGGGCCACTCGGTGATGGCGGCGTCGGTGGTCTTGTCGTGGAAGTTGGGGGTGGACCACTGCCCGAAGAAGATCTCCTCCATGAGCCAGTTGGACGTGGGCGCGTACTTGCCGCTGTCGAGGAGGAACTGGGCCACGGCCGCCTCGGCGTCCGTCACGGAGAAGGTGGACTGGAAGCCCTCCTGGTCGGACTCGGATTCGGGGACGGTCTCGTAGTAGCGCCAGTGGAACTTCTTCTTGTATGGCCACCACTTTTATTCCGGCTGTTAGAATCTTATGTTCTGTGCATGGGATCGAGCTTTATGTGTTGGATGTGACGTACCCAGAGATTTGCGGTCTCCCATGGGGAGATCAGGCCGGCAATGTCGCCATTCAAGACCTCGTCCTCTTCCAGTCTGTTTTCGTCTCTGTTAGAATGGGTCCCTTCCGGTGAGATGCTGGGAAACCTACGTCTCCTGCATCGCCTTGATCTTGGTCTCAGGATAGATGGAGAGCTTGAGGCGAGCAATGATGCCTAGCAGTCCCAGGGATGTGGATGCTGCCAGCCACTCATCGTTGGACTCGTCCTTCACAATGTGTCGAATCTCTCCCGACCCATCGATAATGTCCAGCTCCTGGACACCTCCGACGACTACTGCATCTTCTCTCAACGAGGTGCGGTGAGCTCCCATCTAGAAAGGTCCAAATTATTAGCGAGACGACCAGAAAAGCCAAGTAAATTGTCAGAGGAGAATCATGTACCGCCACGCATCCCCCGATGCTGATATTCCAATTGACGAGACCGGTACCGATGTTTGCGCCTCGCTCATGGAGATACTCAGCGAGTCTATGCAACTAGTCAGCCCAACGATGTCATTCCCAGTTCTCAATGGGGGCTTTTCTAACTGGAAGAACGTCACCCCCGCCTCGATCATCACCGACCCGGCGTCGAGGTCAAAGTCCCAGATATTGTTCACGAACTCGGTGCGGACGATGACCGTTTCGTCGTCCGAGCACTGCGTGTCATACCAGTGGTGGCCCTTGGCCCCGGCGCGGACCTGCAGCCCCCTCCCCTTGGCATCGCGCACGAGAGCCTGTATCTCCTCGACGCTGGTGGCGTTGTGCACCTCGGTGACGTTGTAGCACGCGGGCGAGCCCTCGCCGTCAAATGTGTTGAAGACGAAGGCCGTGGCGCGGCATGGGAGCAAGGCCAACACGAGGGATTGGATGAGATGGAGGGCCTTCATGATTTTCCTTTGGTTTGTAGGCCGGGTATATTTCCTAGAGAGATGGGCCTGGGACCAAGGGATATACCGCCTGAAGAAGAGCCGTTTCTTATAAGACCGACTGCTGGTCCTGGTCTTGGGCATCGTCTTGGTTGATCCGGTCCAGTGACACGGCCAAACTGAGGTACTGGGTGGAATTCATGCAACGTGCCCCCCTGATGGACAGGGCTGGCAGGTATAACGAGCAAAAGCGATCCTACCTCGCCTGGTGATTGATCACTGGGCGTGCCAAATTGGGTAGGACCAGGCCGAGATGGCTCATGAAAATGAGAGTTTCTTGTCCTGAGAATGCCATTCTGCCTCGGGCCAAAGCAGCACGCACAAGGACCGAACCCCCGGAGCTGCCTTATTTGGAACTTTAAAGCGTAGAAGGGGTGTTGCAGTGATGGCTGGCAGGGCGGGCGACTGACGTCTTGCAGCAAGGGGGGGAGACGATCGGGGAGGGGAACAGCATGGGTTTAAGTTGCATCGCAGCGCACAAGACTCTGAATGCGGGGAAGCGACCTGCCATTTCATTAACCTAATTGTTGAGAAAGCCGGGATGCTGGAAATGATGTTGCTCGGCTCACTGCTGGAACCAGAATGCACCTCGTATCACAGCACGAACCTGGACGTGGGATCAAGGAGCTACAGGTGCCGCGCGCGAAAAGAGACGTCGCTGTGCAGGGCATGTCGCTGAAAGAGGCCGGCTCGCGCAGTTACATCGCATTCATGCTTGCTGATTGTGATCTACACGGAGTCGCGGAGGGGGCAGATGAGTGGCTATTGGCATGTGTTTGGCGGCTTTACTCGTCTCATCTTCGTCCATGGGGGTGAGATTGCTTCACAAAACGATCTTGAGATGAAACGCCCTTGTCAAGCAAACAATATTTTAAAGAATATGCCACGGGAGCTCATTGGTATGGTAATTGGTCTAAAGTAACCTTGGCTGAATGCGCTACGTCTGCGTATACTTGTCTGTCATCTCGTTATTTTATCCATCGATTGATTCAATTATGAGCAACAGCCCTTGATTACTCAAACAGACATTCATAATCTCCTGATGCAATTGCCTTCCCATTGAAATAAGTGCCGGTACCAAAGAGGATGACATACTCTACTCTTTGATGAATGAATCAATGGCGACGGGTGGCTCGTTCTGAGAAAAGGATGCATCCTTGCTCACTTCGACAAGCTTTCCGCCCTGAAAACCCCACGCACTGATACAATCAGATAGGTAGAAAAGCTCGGAATATCCTCTAGTCCTCGGAGAGATGGGACTGAAAGTCTGGCACCCAGCGAGCGCCCAGTTGCTCAGCATAGGGGAACGCCCGCGCCTCCCGATAACGGGTCACTCCGCCATACTGAGCTCTGACACTAGGCGGGAGCAATTCTCTACCATCTAGAGCCTCAAAAGTCTCCTCAACCTTCGTCTTACCGTCTTCCTCCTCCATATGGTAAACTCCCGCAGCAGCTCTGTAGAAAATGGCCGCCTCGCGCCAGACGCAATCAACCCAGCCTCTGCCCTTGCACCGAGCGACCTGCTCAGGCCGGCAGACCAACATGACAGGCGGAGGAGCCTGGCACCAGTACGTGGGCGTCGAGCGCAGGTACTTGGCCAGGGACCGGAGGATGTTGTCGAGCTGCCCCTCGGACGCGATGGGCACCGGGTCGGGGATGCCCGGAAACTTGATGGCGTACCTGTCCCGCTTCACCTCCTTCTCGGTGCAGCCGATGCTCCGGAGGAAGTAGGGCCACTGCGCGTGGGCGGGCTGCTCGGAGTCTTCGGGGTCGAGCCACTCGCGGCACGAGCGAGGCTTGGTGTCGCGGCCGAGGCGGATCCAGTGGACGAGGTCCATGGCGGACTGGGAGCTGTCGGGGGCGGCGTGGACCTTGGTGCAGGGGGATTGGGTTCCCCAGAAGCGGACGTTGAGGCCCTCTGGGTCCAGGTCTCTGGCTGAGCATATTTCCTCGGGGTTGGCGGGCATTTCTTGTGTTTTTGTCTGTAGAGAGTCAGTTTTAGATCGATGCCTTTGGGTGATGGACTGCCTACAGGATGGATGTTGTCTGAGAGATGCAAGATGAAAGCCGATTGAATGTAATGGTCTTGACAGTGATTGAGAAAAGAGAGACTGTAGTTGAAAGATGAAGTAGAAAAATGAGTGGAAGAACTGAAAGAGCTGGCACCCTTTATATAGGGCAAGAAAATACTACAGAAAGTCTAGCAAAGTAACTGATGAGCGGGAGGCAAGTGAATGGAATAACAAAGGGCAAAATTTCTGGTACGTGGAGTAGGTAATTTGATTAACGGGCAAACAATCGACCACTTAACAGGCCGTTACGTCTGGGACCAGTTGTAAAATGTCACGCGGGGAAAGAAAGCAGGAGGGAACAATGTATATTTGGTCACTGATTCACAGCTTCGCCTGCTTAGCCCGAGGCAGAAACTTGGTCGGTATTGGGACGTGAACCGCCCTGATGTACTCTGCAAACCCCTTCCCCAGGGCATCAAGGAGCTTTGAGCTGCTCACACCCCTCCCGAGAGGCCCGTAAATAACAAAGTGGACGGCGTGAATGTTTGGCATCTCCACCCGCTCGATGAAATAACGATCCCTCCAGTCGCGCCCCATCATCTGCTTCAGCCTCTGGCGGGTCATGAAGGACCGTAGCCAGTCCCACTGCTCGGGCGTGTCGACAAACAGCCCGAGATTCACGTTGGCTCCCTTGTCTCCTGACCTTCCCAGGGCTATGTCGCCCAGAGGGCGTGAAACGGTAGGGCCGAACAAGTCCAGCGGAACGGGCTGAGCAGTCTCGTAGTTTGCCCTGGCTAGAAGTGGCTCTGTGACAACGGGGGGGCCGACAACGCTTTTGTCTATCCCTCCCGGTCGGATGATAGAGACGGACTCTTCAATCTCAGTTTGCGGTACGATGGCTGGGTAATATGCTAGGAATGGCTTCGGGGCTGCAGTGCGAAAATCCAGCGAGCCATGCATGCCTTCAACATCGTCAGCTTCATCCAGGCCAACACACCACTCACGGCGTACTCACCCGCAAAATGCGTCATGAATGTGAAATTCCACGCGGCAGGAACCATGGAAACCGCTCTCATGTCTCTGGACTGTGCAAAGATGCGCATATACGTCGTCGACGCCAGCTGGCTGTCTGGGTTCTCCATCGGCACGCCCACTCTCTGGAAATCGAGCACGTCCAGCTTGTCCAACGCCTGCCACTCCCTCAGCTTCTCTCTCACCTGCAGCTCCTGGATATCCCACTTGTGCGACGTCGCGTACCCGGACGCATTCAGCAGAAGCTCATTCTGGTACCCGCCCCGGTAGAAGACGGCAAGCTTCGTCGTGGGCGGCGGCGGGTATCCCCTCACTCCCTCGACACGCACGCGATCCTTTGCCACCTCCTCCACCTTGACACCTGACACGTCCGCCTTGACATCACTGTTCAGGTACACATCTCCCTGAAGCTCATACAGGAATTGGCACCTGACCGTACCCGCCGTCACAAGCCCCCCCGTCCCCTCGGTCTTGGTCACCACGCATACCCCGTCTCGGGCAACCTCGACAATCGGGAGGCCCAGATTGACAAACGTCTCAGCAGGGTATCTGTACGCGCCGGAGAAGTTACCGCCCGTGACATATGTAGAGCACTCGATCAAATGGCCGCCAACTAACGCGGCGGCGAGGCGGTCGTAGTCGGTTGGATCCCAGGCATGCCACCATGCCGCGGCGGCGATGACGGGGGAGGCGTCGGCGACACGACCGCAGATGATGATGTCGGCGCCTTGGTCGAGCCCGTGTTTGATGGCGCGGTAGCCGAGATAGGCATTTGCAGAGACTATGGGCATGGTGTCTGGATGCTGGAGGAACGAGAGGGCGGACTGGTCGAGAGTGACGGATGGATTGTTGTGGTCCAAGTGATGCAAGACAGGTGAGCTATCTTTGTCCAAGGATGATGAAGACGCGGATGATCGTTTTAGGAGAACATGGACTTTGTGCATGAGATCATCGCCCTGGACGTAGGCTGTCGTGAGATTCAGACGTTTCTCTTTGACCTTGTGATTTGATTTGCCGTTAGAAGAGAGTCCATTCTTGAGATGAGCCTCACTCACGAGCTTGTCTATTTCCTCTGCCAGACCCTTTGGATCCAGGGCACCCCCATTGACGATTACTTTGATCCTCTTCTCATTGATGACGTCCAGCGACATTTTGATCCCTTCATAGGCCGTATTGACCCAAGCATGCGGCGCGTTCTTCAGGGTGCTCTCGGCCAAGTTTGCCTCTGAATATCCATCTCAGCATCGTCGGCACCGGGGGGTCACTGGCCAACTTACCGGCTAGATAGTCCCCCGTTATCACATCTACCTGCCCATACTTGGCCTGGTTGTACATATGAACCCCAGGGTCGGCTATTGGAAAGACGGTTAACACTCCAGCAATTGACATCGAACGCCATGGCCGAACAACTTACTGAGGGCGCCCGAGCAGTTGGCAATGCGGATTGGCCGTGGCATCTTGCTCTCTGGTTCTTTCCGACTAATTCAAGGGAGTTATCTTCTGTCAAAGGAATATGATTCCTCGCTAAAGGTTAGCAAATGGCCACGATGTGAGTATATATCCCCGCCACGCAGATCGTGCTCCATCATCGGGGATGGGCGATCAGCCGAGGCAGACCACATTTTACCCCAGGATTTGGAATGCTACGCTGCCTGCATGCCGTCACCACCCTCTCCTCATTCCCTGCAGGCGGATAGGATATTGATTGCCGAGAATTCACATGGCGGATTCATAGACCTGAGGCGAAATCTACAGCCATCGAATGAAACGAGGCCTCTGTCGGTTCACAAGCTGTCATTAAAGTCATATGGAATCATTACATACAAATCCCGCGCATCCATCCATCCCACCGCCATTTTTCAAGTACTCACACAACTGCCTAACCATCATCAAGCCGACGGGGTCCTGCTGTCAAGACTCCGCTTCTTCTCCATATCCTCACCCGCCACCGCGCCCGCCTGCGCTCGCCTCTTCCTCAGCAGCACAAACGCAACCGCACCGACAATGGCCACGACGCCGAGCGTGACCATGGCGCCAATCACGCCAGCCACGGCGTTGGACATGCCGCCCTTGGAGCCGCTGTTGGTCTGGACCGTGGCGTCGTCGTCGCTGGTCCTGTACGCGGCGCAGAACTCCTCCTGGGACGAGCAGGTGTCGCACCACGTCTTGACGTCCGAGATGGCCAGCTTGTCCATCTCGGAGCGGAACTGCGCGTACGGGAGGGACTCCTCATTCTGCCCGAAGAGCGGGTAGGCCGTCAGCGCCCCCGCGGTCCCGTTGCGCAGCATCCACCTGACCCTGAGGTCCGCGACGTCGTCGGGGAACTTGTCCGTCGTGGCGTCGGTGAAGAGCTCGAAGACCATGGTGGACGCGTAGTCGGGCAGGCCCTCGAAGTCGGTGGACAGCGAGGTCAGGCCCGTGATGCCGAAGAAGGAGAGGAAGGTGTCGTAGCTCCCCGCGAAGAGGGAGAACTTGAGCTTGCCCTTGGTGGCGACGGTCTGGTTGAGCTGGGCGAGGACGCCGCCGGAGAGGGTCTGGGCGCCGATGGAGCGCGCGGGCTGGGAGGCGTTGTAGTTGGTGCCGAACTCGGCCGAGTCGGCGAGGGTGCGCAGCTGGAACATGTCGGCGTCGGAGATGTTGCGGGCGGCCGAGGACGAGTTGTGGATGCGCGCCGTGTTGGCCAGGTCGAAGATGTCGTAGGCGTTCTTGTACGTCATGTTGTCGGGCTTGAGGTCGGCGACGCCGGGGGAGAGGGCGTCGTAGAAGCCGGCGTAGAAGTCCTTGGTGGCCGAGGAGCGCTGCTTGAAGTCGGCGCTGTCCTTGAACGACTTGGAGGCGTTGGTGAAGGACGGGCAGCCCACGCCGCCCTTGATCCAGATGGTGTCTGGCGACTCGGCGCCGATGCTGGTGAGGAGCACGTACTGGTAGCCCTCGAGGGGCGCGGTGCTGTCGCTGCCGTTGTTGAGCTTGCTGATGGAGAGCTCCTGGTTGATGTCGGCCAGGGGAGGGTACAGGCCCTGGAGGAAGGCCGTGGCCGTGTTGGAGAGGATGCCGCTGGTGGGAGCACTGGCGAAGATCTGGGACGGCTTGTATTCATCAGGGGAGATTCCCAGGATCTGATGCTCCGACCCAGCCTCCAGGTAGCGGGCACGATAATCGCTGCCGACCTGGAAGTTTTGCGAAGCACCGAGGGACGTCAGTCCGTACCCCGAGTAGTGCTTGGAAGTACCTAGAGGCCATCACTTAGTCACTGGATCATTAAAAGCAGATGGGTGAGGTTGCTTACGATCGCCATGGCGGGAGAAGACGACCACGCCGTGAACAGTCTCAGCGACAGCCTGCCCGGCGACCAGGCCGAGGGCGAGGAGAGTAGATTGATGCATGGGTATGATTATGGGGGTAGATTATTAGTATCGTATAACTGTACAGGCGATAATTGAGCTCCTCCCGAGGAAGATTGAGGAGAGAAGACCAGATCAGATTACTGCTCGGGAAGAGGGAGGGGACAGGCAATAAATACTGTGGCCACTGAAGCTGCAGACGGCCCGAACGGAGAGCTCTCTATCTATGGAGCTATCCGGATGGGATTACCAAGTGGAGAGAGAGCTGCAGACGAGGTGGGTGGATGGATGGACGGTGCCAAGGTAGGTCGAACTTTTGTCGGACGATGGGCCATCACGAGAGGAGTCTGGTATTTTACGCTTTTATGCAACCTTGAATCTTAGTTGGGCGCCCTTGGAGTGATGGCCTGGTCTCCGGCCAAGGACACACAAAAGACACGACGCTTTGGATGCATTTCCTCGCCGTCAAACTGTTCATTCCATCACGACTCTCGCTTCCCGAGAACCCTGCTTCTGAGGCCTTTCCAGCATGCGAGGATGCGGGGACGTGCTGCGATGATAAGCCGATTTCATGCAGCTTCTTGGCTTGGTGTGGCACCAGTGAGGGGAAATCTCTCAGACTGGGGCAGCAATTGCAGGGAGATGAATCGGGAAAGTCAATTCATCGCCGGTGATGGATGGATGAAGCGGCTGATAGTTGGATCGTTCGGCGATGGGTGGAGACCGGTGAGCTGGAGCGCCCGCCACAGGCCATCTTGCTTCTTGGGCGAGGCAATAGATTGAGCCGAGGGGTGATGTCTGTTATCTCAATTACACACGAAATCCAGAGTTCTGACCAAACAGAAGAGATATTGATCCCATATCTCAGATATCCTGGATGTTTTGAAGATAAGACTTGGTGGTTTGGGTGCATCTCCGCGGAGGCGGCTCGGCATCGGCGACAGCCGCCTGAAAAAGTCTGGTGTCTTGGGTGCCTGCCCCGGCCCCCGGAAATGCTGAATCAGCCGCTAAAATATAGCGCCTTGTGGGCCACTAGCTCCCTGGCCACTAGGGGTAGCTTGGAGGCTATCATGACCCTGATTCACTCTTCCCACGACCAATCATTTTTTTCCCTGTGCCGATGACTTCCCTCATCTTTATTGAAGGAAAGATAAGACTTGAAGAAGAGCAGAAGATCCGATTGAGCAGTGTTGGCCATGGGTGGGCTCGATGACCATGACGATGCCGGCCAATTGGACAAGTGAACAACGAGCAGCTTGAATGATGTGACGAGGCAATTGACTCTCCTTAGCAATTCCACATACGTCACACGCTTTACGAATAGACAAATCTGGGAACGGTAATATGTCACCAATCACATTCACTTTTCTCCAAGTATCCCAATGATACACACTTTTTCACCTGGAGCAAGACTTGCTCCACGGGATATGATGATGTAGGGTAGCGCTTGATTCTTGGCCACAAGTCTGGTTCGTGGGAAGACGAGTTCCCAACTGCTCTCCCTCACCCTCGTCACTTTCTCCTGAAGTGATCATAGTCCGCTACCCTAAGGTTGGTTACCTGATATCTGCTATAGCACCTTTAAAACCCGCATTCTTTGTGTACCTAACTTGCTGGATGCTACGCCACTAAACAACCCCCGTCTTGGACAAATCATATTAGCATCTTGTTATTATTTCAGTCATCTTAAATAGAATCACCGTAATACACTTTTGAAAAATAGCCCTCCAGTGCGGGACCGCTTTGGCGACACATCAGTCACTGTCCTCTCTCCTACACTTGAGGCAAGAAATGATGGCGGTATCTCGACTCAAGCTGCATGCCTGATTTACATGCGAGGAATTTTCGAGATATCACCAATTAGAAGACTGTGTGCTTGAAGGGGGAGCAGAGGAACGGATAAGATATCAGCTTTAATCTTGAAAACTAGAGAACAATTCCGTTTCACCTAGCGCTTTTGGGCTGATGGTTTGATAACGAGGGACGGGAGGCGCTGGTAAAGGGAACATTGGGGGCGGATTGCTGGCCATTTTCGTGTTCAACTGCTTTACTTAAACTGGTTCCTGCCTCTTTAAATATACATATTAGCGATGTTTGTGTTAGGCCTTGATGTCACTTAGATTACCTAGGAAACTAGTGCCTGTATTGATCTTTTTGGTAGTTTTCCCGACTACTATAAACAGGCAACTGAGTTCCAGTTGAATCAAATTATGCGCAACCTCTTTCAAGATAGGCAATTGGTAATAAACGTCCATCTCTACTTGATAGTGTCTGGTATCAGACCGTGATTTTGATATAACTTATTTACAGTGAAACTCTCACCTCATCCCAGTTAATCGTGTGTCCCGTGATTTTCTAACCATCTCGTATGAATTGGCTAAATACCTATCCCATTATTTCTGATCGTCACCCAGTTCGTCCTTTCTAGCCCAGTGCCTCTTTTCCGTCTTGGCAACAGGCGACCTCATAGCTCAAAGCAAGGCTTATGCCCGTAGCCCCACAACATGTTCCCCAGAAGAAATTGGAAATGAGTCACCATCCAATGCCTTTGATCCATCCTGGCCGCGTACTTCTCTTCTTCTGAAAGAACAAAAAAGTATCCTTGAGCTTGAAAGAATAGCTACAGGGCTTCTAATATGGGGAAGAAGAAAAGGAACAAGAGCAGTTGCGCAGTAAAACCGACACCGCCCGTGGGTGTCGCAACGGCACACGCACTCCCTGCACAGGCCTCACCAGCACTGGAAGCCGTCCTCGCCACCCAAGAGCTCTTCGAAGACATCCTGCTCAGACTACCAATCGAAATCATACTCACGGCTGCTCAGCGTGTCAGCAAAACATGGCAGCGCCAGATCGAGAGCTCGCGCCCGCTCCAGCGCCACCTCTTCCTCCTACCGGATACCAGCAAGACGCTCGAGGAGACGCGAGGCGACTGCATCGTCAACCCTCTGCTCTACAGGCATTTCGGTCCCATGCTTGGCCGAAAGGAGGAGCAGAGCGGCGGCACAGACCCCTTTGGTCCTCAGCCTCCTGCCAGGCGCCTTAGGATGGGCTACATGAGCATCAAGGCGATGCAGGACATGCGCCTGAGCATAGCGGACATGAGTGGCGGCCGGGTTAGGCACAAGCGCTTCGCCTGCGCCGGCGCCACCTGGCGCAGGATGCTTGTCTCGCAGCCGCCGCCGCGGAGCGTGGGATACATAGAGTATGCAGAGAATGGGCAGTCTCAGCGGTACGGGGATGCGCCGTTGGATGTCGTGACGATCCTGGACGGCCTTCGGATGGGAATGCTATGGGATACGATCTACCGCACGCTCTGGAGCCCTTACGGGAAGAACGTGGAACGGCGGCTGGCGTTTGTGTCGTGGCGTATTCGCTGGGACACGGACAGCGGAGAAGAGGAGACGGATTCGTGGACATCAGGGGCGCTGCCGGCACGGCTTAGATCGCGGGATGTTGAGATTGAGATGATAGTCGGGCATGGAGAGGCGATTGTGGACGAGCAGCAATGTCACATGTATCACAACCACTCGATCAAGGATGGGAAGTACAAGTGCCGGGACGAGTATCATCGATTCGTTCATGAGAGGACGCGGGGGAGCACATCCTGGGTGTTTCGGAGCGAGGATTATAATGAGGAGCGAACACTAGCAAAGATAGATGTGGATTGTAAACGGGAGAGATACTGATCATTATTAACTTTGCGTATACCAAGATACAGCCCGTACCGCATCTTACGTGGGGTTCGATTTTCTGCTCCCTTTCTTGGACTTGGTGTTCAGGCTGAGGTTTTTCCAAACTCGTCATCGTTTTTATGCAGAAACCCACCAAGCGAGCCCGAAACCTCATCGGGCAAGTCATTAAATTGCATGATATGAACATTCCTCATCTGATTATGGTATTATTATACAACCAAAGGCGTCAAGCTTATTGATCAGACCATAAAAAGAAGCTTATTGTTCGCGCGGCTTGCGTGATCCACTGCTCAACCTTAAAAGGAACCGAACTGCATTTGTCATCAAAGGCAAAGCATACCTCAGCATCGGCTTCGGCTTCGGCTTGAATCCTTACTCTCAACGAGGCAGTCAAGATGAATTTTGACTTCAAATGTGTAATATTGATTGGGGGAAGGCTCGGCATGAATCTTATTCATATTATAAATCAAAGGTCAGGCCATTTAGGAGTAGGTGCAGCTTCGTATTGCAGGAACTATAAAGAGTCTTGCTGAGGATCGTGATATGTTGGTAGCAAAAGCAAAGGAAAACCAACACGAAAAATCCGAATTTTGTATCTTGCACCCTACGAATATATTCATTTATTTACCACAATGACGATTAACAAAACGCTTGTGTATAAGAAAATCCCACAGGATTCCCTTGTCGCCGGGGAACACATCCTCGTGGAGGATCTCCAGATCGACCTCGACACCGTTCCCAAGAATGGACTGGTTGTTGAGATTCTTTACGTTTCTCTTGATCCATACTTGCGAATCATGATGCGGGACCCCAAGATCAAATACAACATAGATCCTTTCCCGGTAGGTTCTGCCGTTATCGAGACGGCCGTGGTAAGGATCTTGAAGAGCGATGCCGATGGTTTCGAAGCGGGCGAGACGATTCTTGCCAACGTCCCTATTGCTCAGTACGCCCGCATCGACAGCCTCAAAGACGCCGAGCTGCAGAGGATTGATAACCCGCACGGGCTTCCCCTTCCACATTTCCTTGGTGCGCTCGGCATGCCTGGCTTAACAGCTTACTCGGGGCTGTATGAGGTGGGCAAGCCAAAAGCGGGCGAGACCATCTTTATCAGCTCGGCGGCGGGAGCGGTAGGCCAGGTCGTCGGCCAGATCGCCAAGCGCGAGGGCCTGACAGTGATTGGGTCTGTCGGATCGGACGAGAAGCTTAAATTCATCACCGAGGAGCTGGGCTTCGATGCAGGGTTCAACTACAAGAAAGAGAGCCCGCACGATGCTATACCGAGATTGGCACCGGATGGCCTTGATATATACTACGAGAACGTCGGTGGAGATCACCTTGAAGCTTCTCTAGTCAACATGAACAGACATGGAAGGATCGTTGTATGCGGCATGGTATGTGAAACTAAGCAACCACTCTCTATACGTGCAATGTGCTTTCAGTTTTTCGCTTCTATTTCGAGGAAAAGTAGCTGACATGTAGTAGATCACCACATACGGAATCCCTCCATTGGAACAAAAGCCCATTCGAGGTCTGGGCCAGCTGGACGCGTGTCAAATCAAAATGCAGGGCTTTCTGGTTTGGGACGCTGAATACGGGCCAGCATATCACCAGGAGCATCAGAAGAGAGTCCAAGGATGGGTTCACGAGGGTTCCTTTCAAGCAAAGCTGCACATAACAGAGGGTATAGAGAATGCTGCAACTAGTCTGGTAGGAATGCTGGAGGGGAAAAACTTCGGGAAGCCCGTTCTCAAGGTCAAATAGATCAAAATGGCTGGATATTGAGATTGGAGCCTTGGACCCTATTTTCGCGAGACTAGGATGGCCTTTCAGGTTTTGATAGAATAAAGTAAAGAAACTCTATTGCTGTAGTAACTGATGCTTCTTCTGGAGTGCTGATTTCTTACATTTGACCATACGTCGTGGCTTTAATCGCATGACAAAGCACAATATGCAAGTAAGCACACCGAGGGACACGTTGACATGTCGGCTGAAAAGAAGAATAATGATTAAAAAACCCCTCACGAGCATCTCCCAAACAAACTAGAGTTACCCTCAGCGTTACTTGTTCCTTCGGAGGCACTGCCAATATTGAGTTAACCGCGGATCGATGCATCAGTAAAGCAATGGAAGATCTAGTTTCACCACCATATCGCAAAGCGACAAGTGGTCTATCAGTCCCATTATCCGAACATCTTCTGCGGCTTTCTCTAGAACATTTCACAAAGCAACTAGAATTCGAGGACATCAAGGATTTGGATGCAGAAATTCAGCGGTTCCAAAATGTCCTTGGCCTCGGTAATGATGATCCTGCACGAGCCGTGGATTTCTACAATCTCGGTCGCAGTTACGCCAATCGATTTGCACTGTCGGATGATATGTCTGACCTCGAAAAAAGCATCGAGAACCACCAAGCGGCATTAAATATCACACCGCTAGAAGCTTCATCACGAATGCTCAATTTGTCTGATCTGGTCGTGGCTGCCCACCTGAGGGCTGTGATATCACGCGATGCCACCTTTGTGGACGATTCGGTCCAACTACTTGAGGACCTCTTAGCACAAAAAGGCTCCCAGGATCATCTACCATTTCATCTGCGAGGAATCTTAGCCGACTTATACAAAATGAGATGGGACCACCAATCGGAAGAAAGCATTGATGATCTGAGTAATTCGATACATAATTTTGAACAATTGTTTGATCTGATACCAAGCAATGATCCTCGCCGTCGGGAACTTCTTGTCAGCTTGGGAAGAATGTATCTTAGACGTTTCGAGGATGTTGACAATCTAGATGATTTAGATATGTCGTTAAAGCTGCTCCAGGAGGCGGAAAAGATTTCTGCTAAAGAGGATACGAGTGATCTGGAGAGAGCCAATACCCTCCAGGACCTAGGGAAAGCCTTCGAGAGGAGATTCTACCGATTGGGAGAATTGGGAGATGTCGAGTCTTCTATCAGTTTCTACGAAGCGGCTCTAAACGTTATTCCAGAAAGCTCATCGCCCGTCGAGCGGTATTATCTACTAGTAGCGCTTGCGTCCGGCTACGCAGATAGGCACCAAGTACTTGAGTCAATAGCAGATCTTGACATCTCGATCCGAGTGGTCAAAAAAGCCCTTGAGCTTGTACCGCATCACGATGTCCTCCAATCTCTAGGAAATACAAGTTTGGGAAATAAATATGCCACAAAGTATCACCGAACTCGTGAACTGGCAGATATTAACCAGTCTGTATCGAGATATCGGAAAGCCTTGGAATTGAATCCAAATGACGAAAGCGCCGTCATTAGGGTATCAAGAATGTTGGCAATTTCATTGATGAGGACATACGAAATAACAGGACGCAACGATACCTTTGAAGAATCTATTCAAAGTGTCAAAAATGCGCTATCTCTCAGTAAAGATCGGGGCAGAAAACTCCGGGCTGGGCTCTTCCGGACTCTAGCAACTTCATACATGGCCAGGTACGGAAAGACCGAAACATGGGAAGATCTCGAAGCAGCGATCAGTTACGGTCGGAGTTCCGTGGATCTTCTCCCCAGAGGCCACCCAGAGCTACCAGACTCTTTGTTCTCCCTAGGCTCGATTTACATCACCAAGGCAGACAGAACGGAATCAGAGGCTGACTATGAAATTGCAATACAAACGGAGCAGAAAGCTGTGGATTTGACTCTGGACGATAACCAACATAAATCTTCTCGGTTGGACAGCCTCGGTTACCAGTACAATCGGCGTTTCCTGAGACTGCGGGTGGCATCGGATCTGAAGGCTGCAATCGAAATGCATGAAAAAGCATTCAAGCATCCCAATGCTCCCACGCGGGACCGAATAGTAGCTGGAAGGACTTACGCTACCTTCCTTATGGATGCCAACTTTATCATGAAAGTTTACAACGGTGGCAATGCTGCCCCCAGTGCTCGAACCAAAGATAAACAGACTTATGGCAACTCGTTGACAAAAATTCACGATGCTAGCACTGCCTACGAAATTGCAACCGAAACGCTCTCTCTATTGTCTCAATTAACTCCATGGTCTTTAGAGGTCTCGGATAAGCAAGAGCTACTAAAGCAGATTTCCGAGTTGCCAGCTCTCATGGGAGCAGTCTCATTAACTGCAAACAAGGGTCCATCTGAAGCAATTCAATATCTCGAACTTGCCAGAGGTGTCATTATCGGCTCTCTGAGTAATCTTCGCGTTGATGTTCTCGACCTCAAGACATCACATCCGAAACTATCAGAAGACTTTATTCAACTTCGTGATCAATTGGATACTGGCCCTATTCAGCTCAGTGGATTTACAAACCCGCGTCATGAGGCTGGTCAGAGGCTGGAATCTACAATTAGGAGTATCCAGAGCCTGCCCGGTTTTAGCAGTTTCTTACTGCCCTCGGGCGAGGATGAGTTGATATTGGCTGCAGCGTGTGGACCGATAGTGATTATCAATCTATATTACACTCGATCGGATGCCCTGATCATTCAAAATAGAGCGATATGGTCAGTGGAGCTACCTGACTTAGACTACTTTGATGTCGAGGAGTTTTCAACGAGGCCTGAAATCGACCGTGACACACTGGAATGGCTATGGGATGTTGCCGCTGGCCCAATACTCGAGTCGCTGGGCTATCTTGGAGCGCCTGCTGGCTCTTGCTGGCCTCGTGTTTTCTGGATTCCTACTGGCTCCCTGTCATTCTTCCCCATCCATGCAGCAGGATACCACTATCCAGGCTCAACAAAAACCGTGATGGACCGTGTGATCTCAAGTTACAGCTCCTCGGTGAGGGCTCTTATCAATAGCCGGCGTGCCAGTAGGGCATCCGCGGCGCAGCAACCTAGGAAGGCTGTTCTAGTCGGGGTGCAGGAGCTCCATCACGCGCCAGCGGAGATCCAGAAACTTGAGAAACTGTGCGCCGAAATGCACCTGGAGATAGAACGACCAAAGCCCTACCGGGACCAAGTCCTTGCCTCGCTGGCTGAGTGCGAAGTCTTCCACTTTGCGGGCCACGGGAACACACACCCCCTCGACCCGTCTAGAAACTCTTTAGTCATGAACGACGCACCGCTCACAGTCCAGGATCTCTTCAACATCAAACTCCAAGAGAGAGCCCCATTTCTCGCCTACCTCTCGGCATGCAGCACGGGTCGGATTGAGGATGAAGAGCTCCTAAACGAGGGGCTTCACTTGATCGGCGCGTGCCAGCTAGCTGGCTTCAGGAATGTCATAGGGACTTTGCGAAAAGTGAATGATGGGATCTGTGTTACGGTAGCGGAGATGACCTACAGATGGATCAAAGAATGCAACTCGACCGACCAGTCTGTTGCCGAGGGGCTCCACCGTGCCACTAGAATTCTTCGTGATCAGTGGATGACCGATGACGGGACTGATGAATCAACACGCAGTGATGCGGAAGTGAAAGGAAATGTAAAGGACAAGAAGAGTCGAGTGATTAGATCAAGAGGCAGGACCCAAAGACTGAGGCGGGGAAGAGACGCGTTGAGATGCGATGAAGAACCATTATACTGGGCCCCATTTGTTTACTTTGGCAGTTGAATTGGCTTGGATCGAGCATGATTATTCAAACAATTACTGCTTCTCCTGCATGTGTTTGTTGCAGACAGGTAGCACGGTAGTGTCTATAACGACATGAAGATACCACAGAGCGGGATTTGGATCAGATTGCAGCGTGCTAGTCGATAGTCTAAGAATTTGGTGATGGAATGCGACATATTGTGCAGCGCGTGATGCCAAATCAAATCATCAGTAAGTACTGCCTAAGGTATTTAAATGTCTAGAGAGATGCTTCAAAGGATCTCGACCAAAGGAGGATCAGGCTATTGGCGAACCATGTTGATTAGGTAATTTTGAGCCGTAAGATTGGATTCACGCTTGGCTAAGTTTTCCCCTGGCATTGAATCCTTCTCTTGATTATGATATTATGAAGCGGCGGTAGCCAGGTCTTGTTCGATCAATTGCTAGAGCATCAGGTAGAAATGCTGGTGTGGTCATGATCGGCTACATATATCTCATACTGTAGCTCTATGAACCGCCGCCAATGCGACCATGAATTGGCGTACTATTAACAGCGCCGTGCTTCTGCATGCTGCTCTCATGCTACTCTTATCATGGCCCTGCCTGGGATATTACGGGCAGCCTCTTCACTTTCCGACATCTTTTGGACAGCCTCTTCAATGCCCCCCTGAACAGGGCAGTCTCGATGCTGGGCTACCAACCTCAAACCCTTTTGATATACCCACCTACCAGAGAATACGTATAGCGATTGGGACAGACTTTGATCGCCTTATGCCACTTCTACGGGCCTATGTCCAGGAGCCCTCGCTTGCAGCGACCGTCACTGAGATCATTCTTGATCTTGATCGTTGGGATCGGACAAGTTTTGTTCCTTCGACACCCGACCAGCTCACAAGGGAGGGGGTAGAATTGTTCTCGCCAGTATTCGACATTGCTTATAATGCCATCGAGAACCACATACATAACTTGGAACTTGGCGATGAGCTTACCAGGGACACGCTGTACTGGATTAGATGGAAGATTTATGAGCAAACGGGCGCCTGGGACGGACCGATCCATCTCCGCGACGAGTACAATTCCCGCTTTGCTGAGTCTGCCGCAGTTGTGCTGTTTTCCATCTGCCATAACATCTCTACTCTGCACATCGGATACGTGGGCCCGCACGAACGCCCGGTGCGTGAGTATCTCACGAAATCCAACTATGGCCTGCTCTCTCAGCCTGGGCTGCAGAACCTGAGGGATGTTGTGATGATTGATGGCACAGTATGCGGTGACTTGGACAACAGCTTCGTTGTCGTCGATGTGTTGGAGTACATCCAATACTTTCATCGGCTTCCTCTGATCGAGTCCTTCAGCATGGATGGCGTCCAGGAATGGGAGCCCGAAAGGACCATCTTCGTCCCGTGGACTAGCAACATGAAGAAAATCCACATTGGGCATTCGGCCTTTTATGCCCGCATGTTTGACACGATACTCTCTATACCCAAGGCGCTCGAGGAGCTGGAGATATCCGTGGGCGGGCTTTTCTTCTACCACGGCGACGACATCTTCTTCCACCCTTCGAGAATGGGCAGAGCGCTCGAAGCGCACAAGAAGACGCTGCGGATGCTGGACCTGGACATTGACTGCGGCTTCCAATTCATCGAGCCTAAACACTGGGATGCGGAAGACCTGGTAAGCCACTGGGGATATGACTGGGAGTGGTTCAATTACAGCAAACGCGTGTACGGGGACGAGTATTTCCAACTGGATGCCGACATATCATCTGGACCGGTACAGGTGCTGGAGCCGAATGGCGATAAGCATGGTACGACGATAGGGTCTTTCCACGATTTCTATGCCCTCAAACGTCTGAGTATCAGCATCAAAGCAATCCTGGGCTACACGGATCCATCAGAGCCGCCGTACGAGCTCTACCGGCCGCCTCCGTCTCATCTCATCGATATCCTTCCCCCAAGCCTCGAGTACCTGTGCATCTATGGCTACATTCTAGGGGCGAACCCATATTTTGACTACCAGATTGAAGAATTCATGAAGCACAGGGCGAAGCGGCTGCCTAACCTGAAGGAAGTCTGGGGAGTGGATGTGACGGTGCTTGGGGCGAGCGGGACGTACTCGGACTGGCCGATTGACGTGTTTTGGGTGAGACCTGTGAATAGACTGGACTGGAGGGAAATCAGTCTTGGCTAGGTAGCCCAAGGATCACGGCCGTGTTCCAGCAAGGCTCTTTTCAAGAATTGATGTGGCACAATGATTGGACATATGACATAGGAGCGTTCATAGACGATGCATCTGAATATACACAACTGCTTCGGTAATGGAATCACTTCGACTAAAGCAGTATTCATCTGGAGAACTATTCTAGAGAAGGTACGCACCTCTAATAATAGGTTTCCGTGTCTCTGCCTGGTTAATTGCACGTGGGTCAGAGTAAGAATCATCAACGAAGCACTCGCACAAGGGGGCGAGGCTGGCAAGAATGAACTCTCGAATTGTAGTTGAGGTCATCGTATGTTTGTAGTCTCATCGATGAGCGCATTTATCTTATCGCAGGGATGCTGTTTGTAAAATGTGCACATCCATCATTTTCATATGTCATCTCTGTTTCACCAGCGCGGCCCCAAACACATTTGAGACAGGGTCAGCATGCACAGCGAAGAAGAAACAACAATACAGCCGCTAGAGATCAGCCTACTATTGTTCTTTTATTACAGAACGCCACACTGGATAGTGTATGCAAGCCACGACTGCCACCATGCAGCTTCTTCGTCGATTGATTGGGCGAGTGGGTGATTGAGTGACGGAGAATGCCAGCTTCACCATCTTGTGTTTTGCCGCACTGTAGTCATAAGCATCGTTGCTCTTGTCACTGTCCTCTAACTCATGAGACTCTCAGGCCCCGGCGACCGGACAAGAGTTCCTCTCCCTCAGCCACTGTGCCTGGATCCGTCCTTCAAACAGGAAGGTAAGCTTGATTATAGGCACATAAGAATGCTGATCAATGCAGATCCGTCCAGGCGCTCGTGCCACCCAAAAGGACCAACATCTCCCAGCAAAACAGTGGATTTCGCCCCCTGATCCGATCCATCCCAATCAACCAGAAGCCAAGCTGGCTGAGCTAGACAGGCAGCCAGAGGGGCATCCATGTCTGTTTGGAGCATGTACCACGGGGAAAGCTGAGACTGCCTGCTATGATTGGTTTGGGCGCAGCTGGAGCTACAGCTTGGTCCCTTCCCGCCTGCCTGTCACAAGGAGAAACTCGACGCATTCGCTGCCTGTGAGGGGAGCGGCACAGGGCTCAGCCTGGCGATCACTTGCTCTCTTGACATAATTCCCGTGCTTGTGCCAGGGGGACCGATGTCATCGTTGTACGTACACGGCAGGCCGATGCAGTGTAGCTGTGAAAAGTGCCGCCGTCATCTCAAACAAACATCGCCTTAAAACTTCATCCTCCCCCGCTGACTGCTGTCTTTTAGACTCACGCTCTTGTCTCCCTTTTCGCCATCCAACTATCGATTGGCTCCTCTCTGACACCGTAGGACACACCAATCCCAACCAGTCACAGACAAAATGAGAATTCTCACTGCGGCACTGGGCTTTGCCCTTCCTTTCGCCGCCGCCAAGGTCTCCTACGACGGCTACAAGGCGTTCCGCATCGACGATCAGCTCGACTATGCCGGCGTCCAGAAAGCTCTCTCCGACATCTCCTTCATTTCTCTTAGTGTTGAGAATGCCCGCAAGGGAGTTGAGATCGCCGTCGCCCCTGAAAGCATCAAAGCTTTTGAGGCCCTTGGTCTGAACACGCACGTCGTCCATGAGGATCTGGGCGCCGATATCGCCCTGGAGGGCCAGTTCAAGCCATACCGCGGTATGCATTCGCCCACTGCTCCGACCCTATATGTATTGAAATAACTAACGCTCGCTACTCTTAGCATCCGTCAAGGCTTTCAGCGCCAATTCGTCTGCTGAGCTTCCAGACATCTCGTACTTCAACTCGTACCATGAGCTTGAGGATCACCACCAGTTCCTTGATGACATCAGTGCCTTCCTTCCTGACAACTCCGAGACCTTCGTCGCTGGCAAGTCCGTCGAGGGCCGCGACATCAAGGGCATCCACCTCTACGGCAAGGAGGGTGCTGGCAAGAAGCCTGCCATCATCTGGCATGGCAATGTCCACGCTCGCGAGTGGATCACCGGTGTTGTATGTTTCTCTCTGCTTCCTAAGCATGGCCGCTTGCCACTGTATAATTGATTGTTGCTCTGACATTTACTGACGTGCCCCGTTCTAGACTGTTGAGTATCTCCTCTACAAGATCGCTGAGGGATACAAAAAGACCGGCGAGGAGAGCACAGCTGCGACCTTGGACAACTACGACTTTTACATCATTCCTGTTGTCAACCCCGATGGTAAGAATTAATCTCACTACCTCTCCCCTACCCTCATTATCAAAGGATACCTTCTGACCTTGCGCTCGACAACCAGGCTTCGTCTACACCACCGCGGAGGACAGAATGTGGCGCAAGAACCGCCAGGTGCGCCAGGGCAAGACCTGCGTCGGCACCGACATGAACCGCAACTGGCCCAACCAGTGGGACATCCCCGGAGGCTCCTCTCCCGAAGCCTGCTCCGAGACCTACCGCGGTGAGGCCGCCGGCGACACTCCCGAGATCGCCGCCCTCACCAACCACACTCTCAAGGTCGCCGACGCCGCTGGCATCAAGTGGTACGTCGACTGGCACTCCTACAGCCAGCTGATCCTCACGCCCTACGGCTACGACTGCAACACGGACCCCGCCAACCTGGACCGCCAGCTGGAGCTGGCCGGGGGTCTTGCCAAGGCCATCAAGAGCGTCCACGGTGTCGAGTTCGTCTACGGCCCTACCTGCAAGACCATCTACCAGGCTGCGGGCGGCAGCATGGACTGGGTCTACGATGTCGCCGAGGCCGAGCTGGCGTGGGGCATTGAGCTCCGCCCCGGCAGCGACGATTCCAACGGCTTCGTCCTCCCCCCTGACCAGATCGTGCCCTCTGGAGAGGAGCAGTGGGCCGGTGCCAAGTGGGTGTTTGCCAACTTTTAGATGGGCGAGGCTGCGTGCTCGGGTCGCCGTTTGTTTCTTGTAGCATAGATGCTCAGCGTTGAGATAAAAATAATTTCGTTCTTTTCACACTGTCTTCCATCAGCGTATGGTCATTGGTTTACTTACTCCAGATCTCGATATATGTGTCAGTGAGTGGCTCGCAAGTTTCAACATCAAAGACACAGATCTAGTGCCATGAGGTGTATACTGAGAATGGGGTACTGTATTCCTCACTAGCTCATGTTTGCAGGTGTAAGACGTAGAATTTATCACCTTGGGCCATGATATTGTGTGCAGTACAAGAGCGTATATGCTTCATTGCCGACCTAGAGCTTCCGGCCTTGTATGGCCACCCACACCTTCAAATTTAATACACACATACTCACTCCCGTATCTGATCTCCCAACTTTGAATAAAAGCACAAGCGGAAGTTTCACGAGGCCTCAGAGGCAACAAGACATATTAGCATTATTATTATGCTTTTTCATCGCGCACGGGTTCCGCGACTGCGAGAGACGTAGCTTACTGGTGTCACATCCAGAAAATTATCCAAATCATGACCAGACGCTCAAAGTCTGCAACTCGTCAAGGAACATCTGGTGTTGTAACAAACATGCCCAAGTGTGTGTCCGCATCACTCATGAATTGGTTTCCGCCTATCACATTAATTCACCCCCATTCGCAAGCGCTTGGCAGCCTGCTCATCGCACTTTCCTTTTGTATTCTTTCCATGTGATTCAGTCGCCCTCGGCCTCTCTGCGTAGACAAATTGGAGGAACCGGTAGTGAATTTGATACACGAATGGAGCATAAATTGGATTCTTCTTGAAACATCTTTCTCGACGAGCTTCATACTTTACATTATCTTCAATTTGACGGATGAGCACCAATCCTGGAGAAGAACTTACAGCCCGGCTCTTCTCTCCATCTTTACAAAAAGCTGAAAAGCATAGAATAACCTCAAAGAACCTTAAACTCTATCATTTCAAAATGAACCCTTACGTCCAACGCCTGGACCTTTACGATGATATTGACGCCCTTCAAAGCAGTATTGGCCGGATGGAGGCAGAAAAGAATGACATTTACTTTCAAATCAGGATGATTGAAGGGCAGATCGACTACTTCAGGCGAAATCCCCTCGCTGGAGAGATCGAACGACTTGAGATACACAAGGCGATGCTCAACGGCCGTTATCTGGAGGTTCAGGGCAAAATAGGGGAGAAGCATGCGGAGCTTAGGAGGAAGAGGGCAGAGGTGGCCCAACTAGACAGAGACAGAGACAGAGGCTAAAGCACGAACGGAAATTATGGTCGCGCAGACATGGTATTAGCTCTGCCGATGGGTTTTCAGCAGATCTCGAGAGCTGGAACAAGCTTGGAGTATTGCATGGTTTGGTAGCTGCACAAAGCTAGCGAGCACCTGAGCCCAATACAGTTGAGAATTAAACGATGATGCACTGTCTACTTGTTTTTGCTGCCGATGCAAGTATAGATGGGTTTTTAAACAACTTATCCACCTATCTAACACTTTATGACAATCGGAGGGCAATAGATATGAGCGGGTCAGTCTGATTCACAATACATGGCCTACAAAGTGGTTGTGTTGATGCAGAGATATAGCTAAAGTAGATTGATCTGTTCTTACTTCTTGACGGATAGATCCCTTCGCACAGCAAAAGGATCGCTATTGTACAGCCCGCATAAATCTCTCTTAACCGCGGCGCTCAGCATAGCGGAGGGTCTTGCTACCTCTCTTAGGGGCAGCGGTAGCAGCAGCATTCCCAGGGATAGTGGCCGATGCAGTGCTAGTAGCAGCTGGGACAGACTGCTCAACCGAACCACCAATGGAGACGACCTCAGGTCCAGGGATGGAATAGCTCTTGAAGTTACCATAAATACTGACCAGAATTCCTGCATCGGAGGGCTTGTAGAGCTCAGTGGCAGAGACACCCTCGGGAAGCTCAGTTCCAGAACCCTCAACCTTGAGGTTAAAACACTGGGGGTAGTTCTGGGCGCCATTCTTGTTCTGGGCCGAGTGGAGGGCGATGAGCTCATGGCGCAGGACATAGTTGCCGGGCTTGAGGTCCTCGGGGATCTTGATCAACCAACCCATGTTCTTGAGGAGGGTCTTGGTGTACCACTCGGTAGTGCCATCCTTGAGGCCGGCCTCGTCGATCTTGAAAAACTTGAGGTCTTCCTTGTTGACGTCCTCGCAGTTGGCGTCGCCGCAGGAGGCCAGGTAGTCCAGGATGGGACCGTAATGGGCGTTTGGCCAGCGGTCCCACTCCAGGAAGATCTCGGCTCCAGCCTTGACAGTGGCGTGGCCTCCGGCGTTCTCGGCGTCGAGGTGGCAGATGATGTCGGGAGAGGTGTATTTGTCGGGGGAGATGAAGCCGAGCTCCTTCTCTTGCTCGGACCAGGCAACAACAGTGGGGGGATTCTTCTTGTATGGGTATTGGTTGACGAGGTAGCCGCCGTATTCAACGCCGTCGGCGATGATGGCCTTGACGAAGCCGTGGGCGGAAACCGTTGTGGCTGCCACCAGGGCGACGCTAAGGGTTCTTGTAGAAACCATCTTCAGTTGCGATTCGTAAGGGGTTGCTGTGAGAATGAGTACGGTTGAAGACGAGGAAGGTAAAAGACAAGCAAACTTCAGTCAATGAAGTAGCTGGGCAAAAAAGGAGTGACAGAAGGCTTTGTGTAAAGAAGGTAGGTAGAGGATAGGAAGAACCCGAGGAAAGAGAAACATCCAAAGAGCGAAAGTCGGAATTATATATGTATTCCAAACATGATTTTCTCAAAAAAGGGACAATAATGATTCATACATGTACTCTCAGTTGTGGCGGCTAAGATGGAAGGTAGGAAAGGGCAGTTAGGACTCATCCCTGCTACTCAACCAGGCATGGAGATCGGGAAGCGTTAATCCCCAGAGAATACGCCTCCTTCCGGTCGCCGACAGGGATGAAGTGTTTCTGCCATGTGGGCGGCCAAGGATGATAGGATTAAAATGGTATCATGCTGCTGCCAAGGCTAATACCTTCTCCTCGTTTATCTGGCACATGATTGGCTCTTTTGCGATGGCCAAGGAGAGGAGGCAACTCGGAAACCCCATTTGACAAAAAGGAGAGAGTGGCTATGCTTGAGTAGAGTTTCTTTCACAACATGTATCTCTTGAAGTTATCAAAGTGTGATGACACCAAATCCTTAGCCAAGATAACATGCAACGGCAAGTCAAGGTTCGACACACAGGGCTTATTTTCTACTCATGAGGGCTTTCTTGATCCTCTATAAAGGAAGAGTCACCTGCATGTTTGTTTCCTGCATAAAAATTAAGCGGCATGTGGCTGTCCTGCTTGTATCATAAGATGCATGGCCAACTCATGGCCGGGAATGTCTGACTTGGCGCCGAGGGGTTACACGCGCTATGAAGGAATCGAGCTTGCGCTACATTTCAGATGAAACGCACCCAGGCAAAGCATCTCAAATCATCATCTGGCCAATCATATGTGCATGAATCAGCCCGGCATCAGCGAGTTTATAAACTTTAATTCGGCTCAGTGGAGTTGGCTCATGAGGCCTCCCCCTGCTCTGCCATATCCCCGGCTGAGGACCCTAGGAGCCAATAACTTTAATCCTTCGTATGAGCCTGCTGCATGGTAGGTAATACACGCTCCTCATAGTGTTGTTTACCCCTTACAGTAGAAGGAATATTGGGACGTTACAGAATCTGCAGTGTCCTTTGACTGTCTTGAGCAGTAGTGGAATCAAACCCTTCCTACTAATGCAGTACATAACCAACAGAATATCACCAGAATATTCATACTGAGGCTAATGGGATTCTAAGTACGTAAGATAACTATGATTTTTAAATTGGAGTTGTGGCCAGGCCGCTCTAGGCCTGCTTGAAGTACCGCGTTAAGATGGATGGATGCCTTGGCAACTCCCATGTAACCCTGGGTTTCCTTAACCGAAAGAAATATGGTTCACCTCTACCAAAAAGATTCACACGCTCGATTCTATGAAGAAACGACCAACAACAAAGCGAGATCTTTTTGCTCATTGACGAAGCCTGTCTAGTCACATCTAAGAAGTAGATGGCTCCGGTACAGCCAATAAAGCCTTGACACGAATTACACGCAGCTGCCTGCGGGTCTTTAGTCAGCTTCGCTTAGATTTTTACTTCTAATGAGGACCTGAACTCGACGGGTTCTCTTTCCTGCCAGGGCCGGGTGAATCGCCTCGGCTCCATTGCCCTTGGTTCGGCATTGTTCCAGCCTAATGTTGTATGATATGCTTGAAAACCCAAAAGCAGAGAAGTCGACCGCCATCAAATACGCTTAATCACATTTCATACCATTATAGCCATGGAGTCTGGATCATTCGCCTACACCGCGCTACCTCAAACGGACATCCGCCTCCTCAAAATCCATCCTGGCTCGTCCAGCGATAGGCTGATTTGCGAGCTCTTCCCCTGCGACTTAGAAACTAATCCCGCCTACACAGCCCTATCCTACGTCTGGGGCGACCCGACCAAGAGCGCTGAGTTGATCTGCTCAGACCACGCGTGGAAAATCGCTCAAAGCCTCTCGGACGGCCTACGTCGCATCCGCAAGGTTGACGAGACCCAAGTCGCCTGGGCTGACGCCATCTGCATCAACCAGGATGATCAGACCGAAAAGAGCCACCAAGTCAACCTGATGGGAGCAATCTACGACAAGGCCCGAGATGTCACCGTGTGGCTTGGTCCCGATCCGACGGAATCGTCACGGGAGGCCTTTCGGTGCTTGCGAGAGATAAACGAGAAATTCCTAACAGGCACACAACAAGAGTGGTATGATCCCAACAAAGATGAGCGTCGACCCAGTCCCATGTCGATGGAAATGCCAGGCGCGGGGCCTCTTACTGGGAGAAGATCGGTTCTCCCTAGAGTCCTGGGAGATCGTGGAAAGGAATGTATCAGGGAGTTATTTGCACTAACATGGTTCTCTCGCGTGTGGGTTCTTCAGGAGGTCGGCTTGGCCACCACCGCCACAGCCTCTTGGGGCGATTCCAGTATCGACTTTGGCCAGATTGCTGTCTTTGTTTACAACGTCTTCACCGAGGAGGATTTGAAGTTTTTCCTGGGTCCTGAGTTATCAGCCACCCTCCTGGGCTCTCCCTTGTATGCCCTTTGGAACGTCTGGTCCACGTATGAGAAGAAGGACTCGTGGATGCAACGGACGCCCACTCTTCGCAGATTCGCCGAGGGGATCATTTCTAGCTGCGATGTCGACTTCACACTCGTCCTAGAGGCTGCGCAGCACTTCAACGCGACTAACAGCCTGGACTATGTGTATGCCTTCTTGGGCCACCCGAAGGCTAAGAAGCCAGGCACGGACACGACATGGCTTCAGGCGGATTACTCGCTGAATCTGCAGGACCAGCATCGGCTTCTAGCTTCTAGCCTAGCAGAGGACTCTTTGAACTTTCTCGCGCATTTGCAGCAGACAGAGGAAAGCTTGAAGGTATCGGGATATCCATCATGGGTACCCCAATGGGGGGAGAAGCATCCGATACATGCGGAAGCCTTCTGGGAAGCCTGGGATGCCAGTCTTCGAAAGAAAGAGCGTCGCCAATATCCATCCAAGTCAGGCGGCGTTAAGCTCTCCATCTCCGGGCTGATAATTGACACCGTCGACCAATCCACGCCAACAATGAAGCCAGACGACTTCGAGCCGATAGACTGGGCGGGCGCCCGGCTCATTGAAGATTGCTGGAAACTGGCCACGCAGAACCCCCACGCCTACCCTCGCGAAAAGGTCATCGATGCCTTTGCGTCGACTCTAATCTGCGACCACCGCCGACCTGGGCATTCTGCCGTTGAGCTGTTTTCCGGGTTTTGCATGCACGCCGACATAAAGTTCTTCAAGAACATGGAGACCACGGGCGGCGGGCTCTGGGACCTTGGGATTGTCCTCGAGGGAAGCGAGGCGTTCGGCACACAGTTCAAGTGGTACGGGACGAACCGCCGTTTCTTCAGGACCAAAGCCGAGGGGCTCTGGGGGCTTGGTCCGGCGGCGATGCAGCAGGGGGATGTCTGTGCTGTGCTTTTTGGCGCCGACGTCCCGTTCGTCCTTAGGCCAACCGGGGTAAAGGGCGAGTACAAAGTTGTTGGGGAGTGTTATATGTATAATTTCATGTATGGGGATGCTGTTTTGGCATGGCGGGAAGGTAGTAACAGCTACACAAAGGAGGACATTGTGCTGGTCTAGTCGGTCTGATAGCAGATCATTGATCTAAAAGGATGAAACAAGGTCGTGATAAAAGCATTCATGTGAACTGTCCCTCTCTAATATACTATCACAGAGAAGGGTGGTATTTTAGAAGAGGAGAACACGGCTTCCCAAATGTTGGAGAACATAATAACACTTGCTGTATGTGGGCTCCAAGGCTCTTGTTCTTAAAACCATTCCATGTCTCATGTATATCAATCAAATCAGTGAACTTAAATCCAATTCCTCATCTCAAAGCTCAAGCCCAGTGTCATCTATTGACCCCGAGACCACGCCCTCCTTCCTAGCTTTATACTCGGCAAACTCGCGCAGCCACACCTTCACGAAACGGATCTCTTCTTGCTGCGCCTCGACAACAGCCTTGGGAGGCAGCCAGCTGCCCGTCGCATTGGGCTTCGGTCCGTATTGATCCCAGTGGTGCACGCCTCCCTCAAGCAGGATGAATGGCTCGGAATCGGTCGACGCTCTGTGCTGATTGACGCCAATGCGATGAACTCCAGCTTGTCGCCAGGGGTCGTGCTCGCCGTCGACAAAAGCCACGCGAGAGTGGGAGAAGTTGGCACCGCCGTAGCGGTTGATGCTCTCCATGTCTGGGGCCGCGGGTATGCCGAAGGTCTCAGGGCACACTTTGCTCCCGTATTCATAGTCGATCAAGCGAGAGACGAGCGGCGACTGGTCTTCAGGGACGCCAGTACCAGTGAGGAAGTATCCCCACCTGCGAGAGTCGATGATTAGTAGGTTGAAATAGGGGATATATAGAGACAGAGGCACTTACTGAGTACAAGTCTGGTACGCCCATGGACGTTCCAGCCCCTGAGGGATGCTGATGTCGTCCACTGAGGTGCTCTTGAGCAAACATTTCGCCCAGCCTTGGTCGCAACCAGAGAGCTCTTCCTTGAACGTTGCCCTCGTATGGCCGATCCAATTGAGGAACAAGGGCACGATCTCATCAGCCTGGTCTTTGAACCCTGCGCCAGCCAAAAGGTCCTTGACGTCGTTGGTTAACGTGCGAGTGCTAGAGTAGAGAGGTCTGTCGGCCGTGACGGCTTGGCAGTAGCGTGCCAGACCTGGCCCGTCAACGTCGGGATCCCAGTGAGTTTCTTGTAAGCCCATAGGGCCCAAATTGACGAAAAAGGCGAAGTCTTTATCGCCGAGCTCGACGAGATCGAAGAATTGCTTGAGCTTGTGAACAGCGTCGGGGCTGTCGCCCAGCAGGACATTGTCGATGATGCGTGTGATGAGTTGTGAGGCCTGGACGCAATCCTGATCTCCATAGATCCGGACCGCCTCGAGATATTCCCAGTAGTCGTCAATCACCAGGGGCACGCCCGAGCCAGAGATGGCGCCCCAGAAATCATCGGGATAGATCTTGCGGGCCAGAGCGACAAACGCACCAGCGTAGGACCCGCCGTAGAAGATGTAAGGGGTGGTATGGGAAGTCAGATTGAGGTGCTCAAGGCCGGGATATTTCACATTTCGCACAAAGTAAGACGTATCAGCGAGGGCTTGCTCAGTGGTGAGAAATCGCAGGTTGTGGGTGGAGAGATCCGGAACTGGGTAGCTCGTTCCGTAGTATCTATGCTCGAGCAGGACTGTCAAACCGCCCGTGGCCTCGGAGAGGATCTTGCCAATTCCCTGCTCCACGTATGGCAGGCGAGCGACGCCGGTGAGCTCGCCGGCGCCTATGAGGATGACAGGCCCGCCAGGCTTGTAGTAGGTATCGTCCACCCAGTAGCGGAGGTTGAAGAAGTCATTGGAGTGCGGCTCGTATTTAGACTCGTTATGGAAGTGGTCGATAGGGACGGAGAGGTTGTATGCTTGTCGCTGGTTCTTCTCGAGGGCGTTGATCTCGGCTCGTCTCTCACGGAGGCTGCGGGCGTGTGAGAAGGGATGGAGGTTCGCGGGGTAGATTGCCAGCGCCTGCTGCGAGGCCAAGGCAAGCGCCAGGCCAATGCCTTTGACCAAGCCAGAAATCGACATTTCGCCGTTGGACTAGACGTGTGGCTGACAATTCACGAATGCATGCAAGGACTGAGTTGGAAATGGTGGAGGGAGCAGAGCGGCAATGATGCAATCAGGGACCTGCTAAGCTCAATAAATACAGGCGGCTGGGGCCGGGAGCCAAGCCCGAAGTGGGGGCTGGACCTTGATGGACGGACCAGGGTCAGACAACATAACATAACTGAGCCGATACTACCCTGGATTATCTCACTGTAAACACTTCTCTCATAAACTATTTCATAGCTGAACTATCTACAGATATGACATTGCTGCGATAGCTTGAAACGAGAATATTCCAAGGGCTTCAGTTTCTTTTCCGTAAGGTTACCCGGCTAATGTCACGTTCCAGCTACTTCTGCATGTAGTTTCTCATAATCCACCTCCGACCCCTACATCAAGGATCATTGTTGCCTCCTCTCCAGTAATATCTTCAACAGAACTCGGCCTAGACGGCAAGCGGGGTGCCGGTTGGCAAAGGAGTTCCAGTAGGGAAGTCGCCGGTTGGGGGACCTCCAGGACCTCCGGGACCACCACCGCCGGGATCCCCAGCATTGGGGTTATCGATACCGCCGCCCTCGTAGTAAATGGCAGCGGCGCTGACAGAGCGAATAGAGGTCGTGTTGACTCCGAAGCTGATCCAGGCGAGCACACCGTCACTGAGCTGGTCACCAAGAAGAACGTACTGCAAGAAGGGGTCGCTAGATTCGAGGATAGCCTCAAGATGGAAGTCTTCGGCGTTCTTGGTAACCGACTGAGTGTTGGTGTTGTAGGGTGCAAGAGTCTCCACACTGTCAATGAGATCCTGGTCGAAGAAGACCTGTCCAACGTGGCTGGCGGTGATGTCCTCAACAGTATGATTCAGACGCTCAGTAGCGTTTGGATGAACCATGAGGTGGATATGCTGGGTTCGTCCAGAATAGTGACCGGGAAAAATGCCATCAAAGCGGATTGCCCCAATATCATCCGTCTTCTGGAATCCACGGAGGAATGTGGTTTTCAGATTCTCTGGGGCGCTGGTATAGTCACCACCGCTAGACACGCCTGAGTAGATTCCAGTGGAGTTGCAGCCTTCGCAATGTTAGTCCAGGTTCCTTTACAGTTTGAGAGGCTTCTACTTACTCCAGATCTCGACATATGTGTCAGTGAGTGGCTCGCAAGTTTCAACGTCAAAGACATCAAAGTCTACAACCAGGGGAACACCAGGCTCGCTGTCAGTGATGTCCTGCCGAACATATTCGCCAGCAACATCTATGAAATTGTTAATACACTGAATTTTGGACAAAATATGCGCTCTGCTGGGACAAACAGCGCTGTCAACTTACAGTAAGGGCCCTCAGTTGCTTCAGGACTGAGCAGGCAAGAGGTACCATTTCCGAAGATGACATCCAGAGGGGTGTCCAAGTCGTATTTGTAAGGCGAGAGATGAGACTTGTTGATGTCTTCTGGGTCACGGACTGAGAACCGACGACGAAGGGCCATCTCCTGCATGATATTCTTGCGGCGCTCGATGGCGCGCTTGTCAATACCGCGGGCCTTGAACTTCTCCGCACAATGGGCCAAGTCTGTACGCTCTACCTTGGACATGAAGTCTCGGCGTTGGTGTAGCTCCTTGTGCGGATCATCACCTGGGTGGGCGGCTCCCAGGCTAACAGCCGAGGCGACAACGCCCAAGGCTGAGTAGAGACGCATTTTGTCACTTCTGAGTATAGTGAATGAGAAATAGCTAGAGGTGAGCGTTTGTTGAGTGGTTGAAAATCCTCGCGGAGTCGTGGACCTTTATAATTTTCTCAAGGCTGGGGCTTGTCCCCTTTGCTTGTTTGGAGTAGAGCTTTTTTCGGAAACGCACCATCTTTCGCCGTCTATCAACTTCTACAACGGGAATCTCATCATATTCGGGCCATTTCCTTGATTGGGAGCTGATATAGGCATGGTATTAACCACGGTCAGGGTCTCAAGGGTTGTAGAACAGGGCATGAGAAAAGTTCCCTCCTGATTCGCCCCCGAAGAGGCATGTTTGGAACTTGACATATAGATAGGCTCAACGTCTTGCAGCATGAACCAATCAAAACTGAGCTGTTTCAAAACAAAGTCGCATTGGGAGCTATGATATCAAATTAAGGCTAGCCTCCGTGTATCTCTATCCTCGCTGCTGTGGAGTTCGGGCAGGGCCTTGAAAACAATCCCCGGGACTCTCGGAGTCTTGGCTAGGGCTAGACACAAAGACGAGGATTGGGATTGATAGCCAATCCAACCCTAAGCATGATATCTGGTCAATGGGCGGTTGCTTTTTCTGCTTTGAGAAACCCCAATTGTCGGGAGTGAGGGGTGTATTAACGATTCAGGAGGAGTAAAACCCCATCATTGTTGTCCATGACGCCTTCATGAGCTGGAAAATTACAGCGTACACTCATGACACCGTTGTTGATACAACTCAAGGTCGTATGGGACGCCCCTAATATCAACGGATGGGTATGAAACAGGTAGGTAACAGAGAAGAGCCTGGAGATACAGTTTGGATTTACAAGTATGGAGTTGGAGAATGATAACTGACAACCAATTGCGAATTGACTATACAATTGAGTCTCGCTACCCCAAAAGGCCTAAATCAGGTGATTCGTGAGACGGTTGAAGTTGCAGGGCTCTCCAATGTAACTCGTCGTCGTAAGCCTCCCCCACCCCCAGGTAAGGCATGTTGCAGTTGATATATGGCTCCAACAGAGCTGCAACCGAAACCTTCTTTGCAATTGGCTTTTTCAGGATCCTCAAACTTGCGCCCTGTGACCCTGGAGAGGCCCATAATATGTGCCAAGGGTACAACAAATTAGACATCTACCATTACACCGCTTCGCCCCTGTTGCGGTGAGTTCCGGCCGGTACTGCTCAGCAAGCTGGATTCCGGGATGAAATAGGTAGCATTCGGGAATAGTAAGAACAAATCTTTCAGCCGTGCGTCTCCGTAAAGCTTGATATTTACGCTACCGACCCCTGGAATACCTATACTTGACTGTTTGTGAGATATTCTTATTGCTTGGTGACCGTAGTTGCATTAATCATCTTCGGCCATGACCTGAAGTCGATTTCCTTTCGTAGATACCTTACCAGGAGAGTAAAATTTTCCAAATCCCTGTTCTGAATGATGACTACTTTGACGTCGATGAGTAGCCAACATATTTAATACGACACCTTGATGTTGCATCATTTATGCGCGTTAGCTACTAGAACTTTCCATGTTCATTTTCATATGCACTATTCGAGATTGCTCCTTATAGCAGTTTACTCATGGTTGGTCCTTGGTTGCTATCAACGTCGTCTGGGAGATACATATGGCTTTCAAGCAACCGGGGTAACAAGAGCACCGAGTCGAGCGATCTGCCATCTAACTTAGGAACAAGAGCTTAGATCCGCTCAATGAGATGAGATGGCTCCCTTTTAGGGGTTAGGAGTTTGCACCATGAGTTTTCTATCTCGCCATAGCCCGGGTTCCGATAATAGAGACCAGGGCACCTTGAAAAGGCCTGCCTATTGCCCTCGACGGAACCTAGAATACCTGCAGAGAAAGGCGAAACTTGACAGGAAGCGGAGCCGGCCGCCATTTGGTCGTGAACGCGTCATCACTTAATCTACCTGCCCAAATTGAAACATCATATCGCAAAGGCACTTTTTGTAATCACGGAATTTGCAAAAAGAAGTCCTAATAAGTTTTTGGTTCATTATAAACTTCATCTTACATTTGACATGTGATACGTGGCTCGCACCTACCTTGAGTGCTTCGCTACATGTTTCCTCGGACTTACACGCTTGTCCTGGTTTTCTCTCAAGACACCTTCCGACATGGGCTGTAATATTGAAACTTGTCTTTGCAGAAGTGAATGCTTCAGCTGTTCCTTGTTTTTCCCGACTTAACTCCAAGGCTACCCTCCTTCGGTCTCCGCGGATAACGACTCTAGTAGGCCAGGCTTGGTACATTTGTCTGCTATTCTTCGTTCTCAAGTTTGATTCTGCTATCTACAGGGAATTTCTAGTTGAGACGTCGATCCTGAATAACCAAATGATACCGAGAGCAAATTGTAAGGTCTCTCTTTTGCTGACAGGTTTTCGTTCAGCCTAGAATATTGTCCATACTAATGAAATGCACCGAGACATATGCTGCACTATCATGTCAAAGGCCTATCCCTTCTAGGTTGGTAGGTGAATATTATAACTCCTTGTTTAGAAGGGGTAGAAGCGGAGCACGAACTGGAGTTTTGACTATTACTCGGATTAATTTCCTGGCCTCTCCCATGTTTTCATTGCGATTTCATTTTTATCGTTTGCGGCTAAGTAGAGTTGTGTTACAATTTCGGCATCATGTACGGGACATCTTCAGTTCATGTTAGTTGGTCCAACTCTCCACTTATTTGCCAATGCTCGAAAACATGCTAATGTCCTCAAAATGTAGCATCCGATGACATACACTACTGAAAGAGAATCCCATTCTTTCTACTATTGAAATTGGTTTGTATGAATGATTAAACCTTGTGGTCTCTTTAGTTTCTAATTATCGTGGGCGGAATCAGTTTTCCCTCGCGGTTCATCTTAATGCCTTCCTGACTGATGATATCATGCTCCGTCCAATCCTCCAATGTCTTGAACCCCTCTGTCTTGCCAGCCGACGCCGAAGCTTTCGCCTGTCTAACCCCATTTAGATGGTTTAAAATCGCCATCATCGACGCCGCCTCGATCAGCCCCTCTTGTCTTTGTGTCCGGGAGAGAAGCTCAGTGGCTTTCTCCACGACGTACTCATCCGCGCACTTGAAAATCAAGAAGAACAGCACGACGATGACACCCGTCTCGGACGAAAAGGTACGACGCTGGGCCCATGGGGCTTTCGTTCCTCTCTTTGCTCCTTTCTGTTCCAAGTACCGGATTACATATTCGGCACGCAGTACAATTTCCCGAGCTTCCGGGTTTGGTGACCTTTCAAACTCTGATTTCGAAAGGGAACGCTCTTCGAGGAAATATGACTTCAGGAGCATGTGGTATGGTCCATGCTGCGTAAAGAGGATATTCATCCCGCACTCCGTCTCTGCTTCATCGTCTGGCGTTGTACTAGGGATCGGGTATTGGCTCTTCTGAAGCCACGCGGTAAAATGCCAATCCAGGAGGTTCCGCTCGCCCAAAAGACCCGAGGGGATTTTCACCGAACGGACAGGCTGGCTTCTGAAATTTTCGCTGAGAAAACGAAAGAACCAGTTCTGAAGCTTTCCCAGCTTTTTCTGCGCGTCGTGGAGAGATGCAAATGGTAGCTCCGGGGAGTCAATGAACCCGTTTTTGCGTTCATCTGGAGTTGTGAGAGTGAGTATCGGTACCCTGCTGTCGTTGAACAAGGTGGCCTGGACGTCGAGGCGGGCCAGCAAGTCGAAGATGGCCTCCCCGTCTTCCTCTTTACTGAGGTCCTTGATTGAACGTAGCAGCATCAACCCCTTATCAAGATGCAGAATAGCGGCATTGCTGTTCCCCAAGGCGGTCTCGAAACAGTAAAGCATGATGGATGAAATCAGGGCGATTCTTACACCTTCGGGTGACGGTTGTCCTAGTCGCTTTCGTAGCATTTGAAGGCCCTTTCCATATTGCATCAGCGCGTCTTTGGGGGCCAACGTGGAAGCCGGGGCATCGGAGGTGGTGTACTGGAGGTGAAGCGAACTCAGGGCAACCAAGACCTGCCGAATGGCCGGCTCATGGTGACTCTGGCGAAGCACGGTCTCGCTCCAGAACCTGGTGGACAGGAAGCCTGATATCTCCGCCGCGCCTTGGGAGCAGTAGTAGTGCAGGAACTGCCGGTCTTTTCGGCTTCCCGGCATGCGGAATGGAATTGAGTACGAGACAATGCTAGATCGCTGTTTCTGGGTGAAAAGCGTTGGGGGTTGCGTTTGTGCGGCTGCACCGTAACCGTCACATTGCCACCCGGAGAGCACACATCGTCCACAGGCTGGTCGCGCCTCATCGCATTTAATGCGGCGTTTTCTAAACCAAGATACATGTAAGTTTAGGACTTTGCTACATGTATCCACTAAAGAGATCTTGAAGTTGTGCTTACCGACAAGTCGCGCAGCCGGTCTTGACGCGGGTTCGACGCGCACTTGACTTGGCCTGCGTGGAGTTTGATGCCATTTTCGCCTGTGTTTCTTGCCCTAAAAGCGTCTCAGTCCATATTATATTGTGATGGGCTTTGCATACGACGCGAGATCCCGCACCCCGTATTCATTACGGGCTACTGTACCACCCCGGCGACAAAGCGTTTCGGCTAAATGTGACTCAGCGCGGTAGCTGACGTGATCCCTTTTCCTTCCAACTGGCGGCTATGTACGGTCTTAACCTGATGAGGCATGCTGGGTTGATTATTTACGCCGTATGAGGATTGGAGATGGGCGGGCAGTTCGGCATCTCGAACTCCCTCACCCTGAGAGGATATTGTGAACTCGGTAGTCAACCGCATTGTTCACTCTTAGGACTAACGATAAAAGCGCTTCGGAAATGCAGCCCATCTAGAGTCATTGCCAATGCGAGAATCTTTAAATATATTAAGATACTGTCAATGCCATTGAAGTGCACATCATTCGTCAAACCCCCCCTAATAGTACAATCATTCCCATTCGAAGCGACCAGCAAAAGGGAAAATAGAACCTCATTTCAAGATCCATGCCGAAAACGGTTAAAGAAGTCCCCCCTTGCGGCAGTTGAAGAAAAAACCAAGGCCTTTGGCCCATCACACAGCAAATTGATGAAAATCAACCTCCATTGCCTTTCGCCTCGACGACTCCTCAATCGAACAAAGTGGCGATAGTCGGTAAGAAGAATTTGTCGTAAGGATGCTGACAAGGATTCTAACTAGAGAAGTTCTAGAGGCGGGCAGACACGACGAATATTCGCGATGCGGCTCTGTGGTTTCGTTGAATTGAGGCCTTAAATGCCCTGCCCCTTTCACCATGCTCCTCTACTCGTTTTTCAGCCTCACAGACAAAAAGGGTAGGCTTATCTGGCCCCTTTCGTCGTCGACGTATTCTTCTGGGATATCTTCGCGAAGCGCCAATTCCCCTTCGAGTTCGTACATCCAATCCTCCAGCTCGCCCGTCTCCCAAGTTGTTATACCCGGGTTATCATTGTCCGTGACACACATCCTCACCACCTCGCTGTCCTCAACCTCCACAGCCCAGCGAGGTTGTACAGCCGCATCCGGAAACGCTTCCTCGGCGGCGGATGCGCGAACTTCCGGCAGGGGCCCCCAAACAACGTGCACAGCGGTGAGATTCTTCGCGAGCTCCATGGCTGCCACGAGTCCCGTTTGGCTGTAGTACGCGGTGAAGGCGGGCAACGCCAAGTTCCTCACCCTCGCGTACACCCGGTGGTAGACCGATCCCTCCTCGGGGGCCTCTTCGAACATGCCGCCCGAGAAGAAGCGCCACTTAGGTCGTGGGGCATAGAGCACATCCGTTTCCTCGTTCCAGGCGCGTACCATGATGTGGCCCTGCGTCTCTCTGCGGAAATACAGCCATCCGTTGACGGAGGCCATCCACCGCTCCACAGCCCTGCGCGCTTCGCGACAGACGAAGACAGCTGGCGGCATGGGGAGCTGCACCATCAGCGGCGCGGTTGATCCCGCTGGGTGCGCTGCGTAGTGGACGAAGTGATCGCCGAACGGATACATGACTGGTCCATCTGATGGCATGGTCTCGTTCCAAATCAGGTTCCTCAATTCTAGCGGAAGCTGGGGGAAGCAGGTGAAAACCGGCGCGTCCATAATGGCAGCAGGAGGCGTTGACCACAAGTCAATGGGTTCTTTGGAGGAGAGGAAATAGAATCGTGAGCGCGTCAAGAGTATGTATTGACTCTGTCGCGTTTGTGTTTCTTTTTCCTGCAGGCAGGATTATTCAGGGGTCAATGCCCCGCAGGAACGAACTAAATTGACTAATCCGCCAGTCGTTCCTGCTATTCATCCACTGCCTGGGAAGCACTCAGCTTAAGGCACCCAAATATAGGTAGCTGTAGATCTGGGTATATAAGGTAAGGCTTCATGTTGAAATCCACTCAAACAAACATTGAACTACTAATGACAGGGCTTCTATTTTAATTGCCCCCCTTTCCGACATTTCATGACGGCCAAGACATAATGATACGAGCTTCAATCAGAGGCCGAGTTTCTCCTTAGGCTTGTTTTATCTGTGGATTCTTCCGCGCCAAGTTGTATCAAAGACTGATCTTCTTCTTTAGCGAACAGCATAATCGACGTTTTCTTGGCCACTGTTTCCAGTTCCTCAATTGTTTCAGCACCCTTTAACACATCCGATACCAACGGCCCTTGGGACATGACGGCCAGCTGACTAGATTTCCATACTGGAATGTCACGACCACCAAGCTGCTGGCTAATACTAACAGTAATGGCGAAGAAAACCACGGCTGCCACCTGGAGGAAAAGCTGATAAGACATCCAAGGCCAGTTTATCTTGTAAACTGTGACAGGATTGACAACTTTCCCAACGAAACGACTGTTTAAATCGTCTCCGGATCGCAAGGAATTGCTCATGCTGGCTGCAATACTATCGAACCGAGCCGGAAGGTTTTCGGAAAACCACATGACCGGTGCTAGGTCGGGATTATAGTACGGCGAGTCCTCTAAGCCCATAATGTCCAGTGGGGGTTTCCCAATCATCCACCGCCGCAGGGCAGCCTTCCTCATCCGAGCAAGACGAGAATGAAGTTTGGACAAGTGAACTAATGCTGTTTACCCCAAGCTGAGAAATGTTAAAGCTCTCAGAATTGTTAGAATCGTTGGATAGTTGAAGATCTGATCTTTCAAAAGCCGACTGATTTGGGTGAAAAGCAAGATTGCTCGAGGCGTTGGCCATGATATGACTTGTTTCCTGTCCTATAAATTGCCATGAGTCAGGATGTCTTCGATACTCCTTCAACTCATTTTCCAATTCCAGCTCCATGGTGTTATGAACTACTCGGAAAGAATAGTTTTTGACACAGTAATAAAGAGCACACTCCACGGCATAGACTGACATATTAGGCCACTGCCAAATGCCAGTCGAGTTGTCCACTTTGATAATACTCTGTGACCAGATTAGGGTGTTGATTTCTCTAGCATTAATCGATTTATTTGGATTCGAGTTGCCGTAGAGGGATAAGACTAAACGTTCCGGCTCCCACTCTTGGTTGTTATTAGGAAGGTGGACTTTTGGAAACACATCTTTGTTTTCTAGATATAGTCCATTTGGAAGACAATACCTTGTAACAGAGTATTCCTGTGAGGTGTTGGAATCGATAACATTGTTTATCTGCTGCGTCACCCCTAGCATTGAGCTAGCATTATAGCATCTGTTGCAAATCGCCAGGGACCGAAAATTCTCAAATAAACAACCAGTCCCGGGGCACTCGAAATCCGCTTGCCGAATGACGTCTCTTTTAGCAGCGGAGAGTGCAAACATGAGTGAGGCTCTCATACTGAAATCGGGCTTGGAGATGATACTGGCATGATCTACTGTCATACGGCCGGGCTGGCCAATCGCCCCGGGGATAGATACAGCGGTCCAGGAAATGGGCTGATTTATTCCCTTGGAGTAGGAAAGTCCTTGCGCAATACTTCCGCCCTCTTCCAGAAACTCGATTTGACGCACCCGCGCTAGTTGCTGGGCGAATGGGCCTGTGGCAATGGAGAGCAGAGTAAGAAATGCGCCGAATCGAACAAGGGCACTACCCACCACTATCAGCTCTGGAGACTCATAGACGCAAAAGTTTATATGTACAAACGTACCCTCCTTTGAACCTGCTATTTATCAAAAGTTGGACACTACCCAAAGGGCCACGGCTGGATTCAGAAATCATTTCGAAGTCGTAAAGCCGACGAGGCTTGGTGGAAAAAGCCGCCCAATTTCCTTGGCCAATACAACTTGAGACTGTAGTGAGAAGTGACGCTCTTGATCCCGTAGATAGAATAGATGTCATTGTGTTCAAAGTCGCGAATGAGCCGTCGAATGTCTGCTTGCCATCAAAGTGCACCATCAGCGCGAACATCATTGCAAACTGAGCCAAGGAAGCAGCTAAGGACCAAACCTCCAAGGCCCATATATGGAAAATCTTTTGTGCTGCCATTGTGCATTCGGGCTGGGGAGGCAAGACATAAAATGATGCAGAGTAGTTGAGTTAGTAATGAACGGGCCATATATAACTCCTGGTTCTCGATGATACAAAAAGAAATACGTGGAAACCCCGGGACACAGAAAAGTGATGGGGGAAAGGGAAAGGGGAAATATTATTCTAGCCTTGGGATACGAGGGAAACGTTGCCTTTCCGGCGTACAAACGCAGTCGTCGTTATACAGCATGCAGAAAATTACACGGAGATGCCAAACGTGAAGATGCAGTGAAGTGAGTGCACGTAAGACTGGCAGTCCCAGTCTGCAAAAGTGATAAGCCACCACCATGAAGCTTCGTAGTCGCTTGATATAGATATGTAAAACAGAAGAGTCTTCTCTTCGGACTCGCATCAAACACGCCGCCGAAGAAAGGAGGGAGAATGTGAGAGGCACCAACTTCATTTCCCAGTAAATGTCACACCGCGCAACCGTAGAATGCGAGTCAACCAGATGCTGAAACCCGGCCTGCTCACAGAAATGCACTTCTGACCGTGTCTGTGCAACGTAAGAAAAACAATGGATTACGTGGAACCTCGTGACTGGCAGCGCCAGTCATTGGCTTTTGGTTTAATATGGTTGTGTACGGAATCTAGGGGCTCAACTGAACTTGGGGGTGACAGGCGGCTTCAGAGAAAGCGACCATCCTTGTAGCAGGTTACAATGTAATGCACGTAGGTTCCCAAGCAGACATACTGATGTAAGGTGTTTGCATCTCAATGCAGCGTTGTTATACCTACGCGCCACCAGAATAACCAGGGGCGCTGCCACCTCACAAATTGGGGGGTTTTCATCACACTTGGACAACGGTGATGCTACTTTTCGTCGCCTTGTCGTACTCTCGGGCTTGGCTCATCTGGGTGCCATTTGAAGCGGCAATGACCCTTCGAATCTTTCTGGTCGGGCAATTTCGATTTGATGTGCCAATTTCCAGCCCCTAAGAGCAAGTCCAATGGCCCACGTATCATCTCAAACTATGAATTTTGGTGTAAGGAGTAGAAGCGGACGAGTGTCAGCCGCGAGCTCATTTGATTTTAAGAGCAAGGGGCTTTTGAACATACCCCAAGTCTTGCAGCTAAAATGAGATCAACGAGCGTGAGCATCAAAAGCCTAGAACGCTGGTCAGGGAGGGGGCGTAGCTACATTCATATAATAACTGTGCAAGTGAAAGCGATGATTGTAACAGAATGGTTGGAATTTCCGACATGACAGCTGCAGACCTCCGTAGTCTATCATCTAATCAAGTGACGGTACAGTTTAGATGGAGGTCAAGATTAATGGCCGGAACCAGCATGAGAGTCTTTGAGCCCGCGTGAGGGACCTCCAGATAGCTTAATCCGCTCGTTTCTCTCTTTTCAGCTTGCTGTAATCAAGAACGCTCCGGATGTTTTAGGGTTCCTTGGTTCTTAGCCATGTACCGACGATTTATCTACTGAGGGGTGTGGTGACTATACCTTACTGTAGCCTTCGTAATGGAAAGTCTAGGTGTGCCAAAATCATGCCATTTAGTCCGGGTATGCGACCAATTCTTGATCATAGGCCGACACTTCTCCAACTTCTGTTTGTTCTTACTTAGACACCTTCTTAGAGACGAATGACGATCTTTGTGCGGATCAAGAAATTCCGTTTCTCCAGCTCCACCCGCCGTCACGGATGATCTCATTCCGTTTTTATGACAAGACAACGACGGTAATCCGCCTTCCGTCCTTGTATCCAGTCGTATCCGATGTCCGTTCTATAAGACGGACCATGTCCTCTGTCTTTTTCTAGAAAATACTTACAATCAAGCAATCGATCCTCACTCCAACACATTGATCCAGCATATACTCACAATCAAACAATTTCACTCAAACCCATTTCTCTAATCTAGTCACCTCCACAACTCAAGGAAACACCATCACAATGCATATGTCTACTCATACTTGGATGCGCCCGGAGCCACTCGAGGTCACTTTCAAACGTGCACAAAGTTTGGGATACAAAACCATCGAGCTAGCCGGAGAGCCAGCGCAATACCCCGTGCAAGAGACCCGTGAGCTCCTAGAAAAGTATGATCTAAAGCTCTGGGGCACTGTCACGATCCAGCAAGGGAAACGTGATCTCTTAGCCGTGGATCCACAAGAAAGACGCGATACCATCCAATACGTTAAGGATGTCGTTACATTATCCGCTGAATTAGGAGGCAAGATCACGACAGTCGTCCCTGGGAGGGTTGGCAAGATCGCGCCCACGTCATCGGCAGAGAACGAGTGGAAGTGGGCTGTGGAGGGCCTTCGAGAGATTGCTGAGTTTGCGAAGGGCAAAGGGGTCAAAATTGGGCTGGAGCCATTGAACCGGTTTGAGACCTACTTCCTCAACCGGACTGATCAGGCTCTCGCTCTTGCTAAAGAGGTGGGCTTTGACTGCGGTATTGCCTTCGACCCTTTCCATCTGGCTTTGGAGGAGGTAGACCTGATTGCCGCCATCAAAGCATGCGGCCCCCTCATCGTCGACTTCCACGTCGCGGATCACAACAGGCTGGCCGCTGGCGACGGCAACTTCAACTGGCCACAGATCATGGCAGCGTTGGTTGAAACAGGATACGATGGTGCGCTGGCAATGGAGAGCGTGCCTCCCATAGATCGCACACCTCTCGGAAAGTATGGACAACGCCAATCTGAGACAGAGGCTGTCGACGTCCATCCAGACCACATGCAGTTTATCATTGATCATGGCTCGGCCTTGCTATCAGACGTCTATTACACGGGGCTACTTCGGCGAACAGCTGAGACGCTATCGCCATTCTGCTCGTAGGCGGAGGCAATTTCAATCGAAATTGAGATACATAGAATGAAACCTGCTATAGATAGTAAATTATACACATTTCGCCCAAGCTCGACCATACCCTCCTGTCAATGAATGAAAAGCAGACTGCATAGCATAGGGAATCGATCGAAATGCAGACGCATATATCCAATAGTTGTATTGATTTATGAGCACACGCTCAAACCTGAACAGCTGAGATCAGGAGAACTGTTTCCTGAGTTGGATATGCCCAGGAAAAGCTACGTCAAATTTTGATCCCTATAGTTATTCCATGTAATATGCGATGCCATGCCGAGGGGGAATATATGTTGGCCCCAGTCGATGCCGCCTGGTTATTTCTATTGGAGTGGCCGAATATATGTCATCTTCGTCTTTGAACAGAGAGCCCTGTCTTTTATCGGAATGAAGTGACGGACATATCACCCCTAGATCCGTCACTTCAGTGTGGTGAGACGTGGAAAGCCGCAGCCTTGGAAGTATTTTGACAGGTTCATCAAGATGTGTCCGTGCGAGCGAAAGGGTAATCGGTGGACTGTTCTCATTTTCCTGTCCTTCCTTTATTCCGGATGTATTGTCCTCCATGCCGGGAAAAATTTCTGTTCCCATTCTCACCATAGAGGTATTGTGTGGATGCTCGATATCCGCCACTTGAACTTCCGGTGCATCAATCCCAGCGAATATTCTGTTGTCTGCACCTATTTTTTCAGAACGGTGATAACTTGGAATCTCAGGCTGTTCGTTTGAGGATAGCAGGTTGCTTGGGAATTCACGCCAAGAACAAACAGTTTCCAAAGAGTGATCGGCTGTTGGGTGTGGGCTCTGCACTTTCTCTTGCGTTTGAGCGTTCTCTTGCGTTTGAGCGTAATCTGTGTTCCTGCTGGCTGGCGGGTGACAAGGTCGTATCCACCTCCGCAGCTTGGTTTCCGTGGAATCTATCGAAGCTGTTCCTTTGTCCCGAGAATTCTGGGAAGACTCGTAACCAGAATCTTCGTGACCCTGCGGCAGTTCCTTGATCTTCTTCCGCAAACTGAACATGGCCACTCTAATATCATTGACCATATTTGGATCACTGCTAAGGGCCTTGAAACTTGGGAAAAGCTCAGTTAGGGCCTGGTTATGGTACTGTAGACTATTTAAATCTTGATTCCCGTTTATCGAGGAGAGATGGATAGCTAGCTGAGAAGTAATGTTTTGAAGTGCTTGAGCCCATTTGTCGCCAAACCAGAGCTCCGCACGACAATGTTCGAACCTCGAAGAAAAGTCACGTGGCTGTTCCTCTCTTGATTTGTCTCGGTTGCTGTCTATCCCAAATGACTCCTTGGCATCGTGGTCATAATTGGGATCAATGTGGGTGGCCGGCGGTCTTTCGGAGGTCAATTCAGGGTCAAGAGCCGTGGACCCATCATCAGAATCCTTACCAGATTCAATTATGTTATCCAACTTTTCATATGCGTCTTCGCATTTGGTTGCTTGTGATGTGGTTATCCTTTGATCCGGTGGTGATGTATCTCCCAATTCAGCGGGTAGTGATGTGTCTCCTAACTCATGCCTAGACGTGTCCACCGATTCAAGGTGAGATGATGCCTTTAATTGCTGTCCTCTGGTACCATAGGATCCCGAATCGGAGTTTCGCAACTCATCGACTGATGTATGATCGGCTGTCTCTTGCACACAATCCAGAATTCTTTGGCCAGTACGAGCGGTAGAAGTCCCCTGACTACAGGTAGTCCTACCCATCTCATCAGACATGGCAATCTCAGCATGCCCTCGCCGTTGGGTTCTGGAATTCTTGAGACTTGGTCCTCTATGAGAGAACAGCCTGAATCTACTTGAGGGTTTCATGGTAGGTGGACTATTAATCATTGGTAAATCGCCTTCATCTCTACCAGCAGAGCCAAATGTGTCGAGGCGGGAGCTCCTTGGTTTGAAAATCCGGGTAAGATGTCTCCGAATCGGCGACTTCTCTTTAGGACTTTGGGGATTTGTTATAGTCGGTCCTGTGGGCGAAAGTTCGTCGTCTGCCTCATATGGGGAACGGAGAGTGTCGACGACCGCCTCTTTTGCAGTATCCCGATCAAGCATTTCGTGTCCAGTAAGTTTCATTCTTAAGATATTGCCGCCAGATATCTTCGCTGGTACTTCTCCATGAGTAATGTCCGTCGGAGAAGCCGCTAACTCAGCCGTGCTCGTTAGGAGAGCTCCAGTTAATGTCTGGATATCATCCGAGCCGAGGATACTAGCGAGTAGTTTCTCGTGGCCTTGGAAGAAAACAACAACATTCTCTGGGTGTATGTATATAGATTTTGCCAACAGTTGGCGTCTGAAGATTTCTGCACGTATGCAGTCACCAGAAACTTCGTATATGGTCGCGTATAATCCTAATGTTTCCTCGTACTCTCTCCCGTCAGCCTGCCCGGCCTTGTATAGTCTTCTTTTCCCATAGAGTGCTCGTTTACAGTACTCAAGGGCTCGCTCAAAGGAATACTCAGCTAGGTAGCAAAGCGATAGAGCATGGGAGAAGTTGTAGATGATCAATTCATGACTTGGGTCTGGCCTTTTCTCATTTGATTCCGAGAGAAGATTCACCAATGGTTCTGCGAGTCGCCACTCTCCCTTGAAAAAGTAACAAAGGATTAATTGGCTAAATATCTCGAAATAGTCGAAGTTTCTTCTCTTCGTTTCGAACCCATCGCAGACGACCTCTTTGATTAAGCGGATTGCTTCGTCGAAGTCTAGCGCTTTAATACTTGCAATAGCCAGCTCTCTCATTCCCTCTAAGATGACATCTTCGAAATAACTGTCATCAACTTCCTCTTTCGGAATATCGAAAGCACTGGAATCAGGATGATGAGGCTTGTTCTTGGTTTCGGTGCTGGTTTTATTCGCTCTTTCTATCATGGTTGGGCCCTCAATTATCAACTCTGATTTGAAAGGGGTTTTACGAGATGGATAGCTCGAAACCGAAGAAGGATGTTCAGAGTGAAGATTGTGGAGATATTGCTCCAGGAGCTGGTACCGCAAGTAAGGGAGGTCTCCCACGCCACTTGCTTCGCTGCCTACAAATGAGTTCAATATGCTTTTGCCGTCGTCACTTTTTAATGTGCCTGCCGTTGAGCTCGCTGTGGCGTAGAAAGTTTCGGCAGCTGCAGCCAAATGGCGCAAGTCTCGTGTGATGTTATTATCCAGTCTGTTTCCAGACATCGAGTTCCGCCGGTCTCCGGTTGGCTTCGATGAAGCATTCCATGTGTTATTTATAGATTGTTTCAAGTTGCTAAGCTCGGTAAGAATCTGGCTTTGGGATGCATTTTGTCGCAGTGAAAGAGACCTAAGGAACCATTAGAAGTCGTAAACCACAACGTAAAGAAATACTCAGCTTACACAACAATTATATGAAGCATGGTTTGGAGAGCTGAATTAGATTGGTGGACTTTATCGCGAAAGCCAGCTAGGTCTCGCTCGTGAACCTTCAACTCAAAGATGGCTTGGACTTTCCATCCTATTGTCCCAGGTCTTGATGCTTCTTTGATCTTGTCCACGAGTCGGGCCAAATCGTTGACCGTAGCTTGGCAATTGCCAATGGCGATCTCGCTTTGATGCCATATCGCATCGTCGATCAGGCTTAGGTCAATATCCTTACAACCTATCAGCGTATTTTCAATCGTCTTAAGATTGCCTTGAAGATCAGAAAGTTCATCGTAAAGACCCGTCAAGCGTGAATCAATAGTTCGTAGCGAGTGCACAAAAGTTCCCACCCCGATTGTCACCTATGCTCAATACTTATTAGTGTCTAGTCTAGAAGGAATTATCCAAAGCTCAGGGACCCAGCATACGACGCCAACAGCCTGGATCACCGTCAAAGTAGAGGCAGTGATGGAGAGCGGATTCATCTTGACGAAGCAATTCTCTCGAGAAAGCCTCAGTCGGGTCGCAATTCATTCGCGGCGTGAAAGAGATGACCTTGGGAAGTTGTCTCTTAGAAACAGCGTAGCTAAGTAAAAGGCTATTCTCGAAATTCTAAGCAGGGGGATGTAAAGGAACAGGTTGAGCTTTGGGACAAAGAATCTCATGATCTACGGGAGTACCTGCATAAGAGTGCACCGCCGCGCAATCGTTTTCTTTCCCCGAGGCGCAGTCCTAGGCATATTTGCTCGCGGCGGCAATTTGGTATCATCCTTGGCATGTTTCGTATTGACAGCGAATCACGACCCGCGGATACATAGATGAGGCTGATGGGTGCGGTAAGGCAACGAGGTGCCTGGCGAACCAGTTGGTTCAAAATCAGCTCACATCCAATGAAATGCACAAATCTGCCGGAATGAAGCTTTTGCATTCGTGTTAACTGATTAGGGAAGGTAGTATTTTACTCATTGCTATCTCAAAATGAAACCTACCGCGCGCGTAACGAAAAAGCCGCCCAACACAAGGTGTTCACACCATTGAACCGCATACATAGAGAGTGAACGCCACGATGGCACATTTGTGTTGGGGAGGATGCGTCACTATCGGGACTTTCTTCTCTTGGCTTTCAATATCCTGCTAGGTGAGATTCACATCCGCAACTCACCGACTAATTGATGACGGCATCACCTGCATACGGCGCTCCCAGTGAGAATCGACGAGCCCATTTCCAATAAAGTCTCCTCCCACAATATACCTGTCCCTCTTAACCTTGCGCTGCAACTCTGATTCCATGAGGGGAGGGGGTAAAGATCATCGTCGCTCGAATATTTACAAGGCTATCTCTGCTTCTATTTTCTAGAGACATGATATTTCTGAGTGTGGGATGAGAGAAATCCTACAGCTCCAATCATTACTGATGTCAGTTGGTCCGATTACAATACGGAAAGTAGTGAAAGCTATATTCTGAGGTTTCAATGTATCTGATCTGCGCCGGTTCCGACATGTCATAGCTGGGTGTAGGCCCTGGTGGTCTTCCCATTGTTGAATAGGTATGCCCGTCTTGTTGGTATTCCTACCTCTTCTCTCCCGTTTCATTTTCTTTTATGTTAGGATACTTTCGATTATGTAGTCATGTCATTATTTTCTATTAAAACAATTATTATGAGCACTTTGACCCATTACGCCTGCGATGTGTGACCACTACTAAAAGACCTCGCGCTTTGGACCTCATGCACCTCAATCATCACATCCTTGCGCACCCGGATCCCGTTCTCTTCGTTCGTACTAAGCCACTCAGTGTCAGGGTCCGGCCTCGTAATAGTCGTGTGCACGCGGTCAGGAGACTTCATACTCGTCGGATCTCCCAGGATGCCCTTTTCTTCGTCTGTGAGTCTCACTTGCGAGCTCCCCAGATCGACGCCCTTCTTGCGCTTCTTGCTCATGGCGCTCAACTCGATACCGTTGGGCCGCGGAAACGTCCGGTTGGCATTGCTCGCCCCGGTCGCGGTGTGGGTGTTGTAGTCGTAGGAGCTGAGTACACGGGAACCGAACAGGAAGCGGAAAATAGGTCGGAGGAGGGGGAAGCAGGCTGGCAGACTGGATGTTAGCAAGGGACGGTTATTGAATACTCTTCATCGTGGCTGGACATACAAGAGACGACGGCAATATTGACCTCCACGCCACCCCATGTATAGATAATCGCATAGTCGTATGGCATCTGGGTGGTATATGGGTCCGCGCCGATGGACAGGATTAAACCAACAACAGATGCGACACACACACTGTCCCTCGCGAGTTAGTGTTCAATTTCTTTTGTCGGTAGAATGAGATCAGGCACTTACACAACACCGACCAGAAACAGTGCAATAATGGCAATCTTCTGCGCCATGCGCAACCTAAGCCTGGACACTTCCACCACCGGCAAGGCGAGGATTATGACGTCGAGGAGAAAATGAGGAAGCATGGTTCCGAAGAAGAAGCCCGAGTCTTTGATGTTGCAGTGGCCGCCAGGGAGGGAGTGGTCCCAATATGCTGACACCGGGGAGCAGCGGAGGAAGATCATGAAGATGCGTAAGACGAGCCACACGGCGGATATTGTGTACAGAATGATGATCGGTATTCTGATTGAAGAGAGTTTGAAGAGTCGCCAGTACAGCGAGAGGATAGCCAGCTTCGAAAATGCGATCGAGAAGGCGTATGTCATGGAGCAGAAGAAGGCAATCTTCCTTGAGTGTAAGAGTATCTCCTCGCGTCTTGTCTCATTGACCGTGTCGGGGATAAGTTGACCAAGGGACCAAGTCGTACACCCTATCATATCACCCAGTTAGCTCAATATCAAGAAGAGAGCGTCGTCAGGGGCAAGGCGAATAGATGATTACAGTAGAGACAGAGTGCGTTATAGGCACTCGCAAAGGTCTAGTAGTCGATGTCAGCACGCGAGACTTATTCCATTGTAGGTGAGTGAACATACAAAGGCAGCTAGACAGTAGTAGTCTTCATACCACCACCGCACCTTGGTCATACGGCGAGCGACGACACGACCGATCAACGCGAGGGTGGCCAGCCCCCAGCAGACACCAAAGCCAACGAATACGTTGGCCTGGAGCCCGGTCATGGTGAGAGATCTGCGTGTGCTGCGGAGTCATTAAAGGCGTTGAATTAGCTAGATAAGATAGGTGAAACTTCAAAGGTCAACAATAATATACACGCATGATGATCTCTAGTGGTACGACATGAAATGTTCAGGAAGTTGGGATGACTGGCCGTACGTTCCGAGAGGGGGAGGGTCGCCCTCGTATTATGAACCTTCCCCAACTTGCATGGGTAACTGGATCAACCGATTCCAAGATTCTGATTCCTTGATGGGTATTCTAGCTTGGCGGTGGCCATCTCAACCCCTACAGAGAAAATCCGGGGGAGGGGGGAGAGTTGTCGCCCCTCAGACCCTGGGACTGTTGGGCTTTGGGAAGCCAATTAGGTACAAGCCCGCCTCATACTTAGCTGACTCGAGGCATCCCAAAACGACAAGGTCGTGTATGGGTGAGGGGTCTTCTTGGTCCCTGAATGGATGGGGAAGAAGGAAACTTCCGCTAGGGAAAATGTGTGTCACGAGAGGCACTGTGGCTGACATCATGCAGCTGGCTTTCCTTAGGACGTCATCCCACGAGTCGCAGATCATATAAAGAAGAAGCAAAGCTTATGTATGTTCAAAATGTGGCGTGATTTGACCAAGAGGAAAAGTGTGACGCCTCTGAAGAACGGCATACACGTACTGCCAGCTACAAATGCCCGTTTCACGGCCGAGAGAGGTCTGCCTCCTTCGTACGCCTGGACAAATGTGCTTAGCGTCAATACCGCCTAGACCTTCCTCCTCAACAGTTCCCCTCAATACAGATGATCACACCCCAGCTAGTACTAGTTGATGGTCGCTAGTGTCTGCGGAAAGAAGCCGCGAACCCAAAAGCTCATAATAAAAGAGGTAAGATAAGATTGTTTTCTGATTATGGGCCTCCTATGTTTACGGATTAAGTAGTAAGGCTCTGTTGGTGTTTTGGATAAACGTGCTAGTCCTGTTGTTAGTTGGCGCTATCTTGGACACTTCAAATTGGTCAACTATTGGAGGTAGTATTCCCCCTACTATTGGATTTAAAACTTATATCATCCCCGAAGGTACCTCTCTTTCCTTATCTCGAGCTCTCCTAGGCACAGGAATAATTGACCAAACATTTATTCTCCGAGAATAGTTCACTAGGATTAAATGGTATTAAAAAGCTCGCATCATCTCGACCTACAGTACCAAGTTATCATTCTTGGTTTCCAGAACGCGATATTATACGTTTCCTTTTTCACGAAATTGTAGATGCTTCGATGACAATCATCTAAAGAGTTTGCGGAGGAGCCGAGGAGCCCTACTGCTCCCCCGTTAGGGCCCTTCCCCCTCCTTGGACTTCGGCTGGTCGACTTTGAGGAGCAATAGCTAGGTAGACAGTTGGCAAGGGATAAGACAAGAGTGCTGAATTTTTCATTCCTTTCTGAGATAAATACCAGCACGTTATCAAATTCTAGGTTAAGCTGGCTGTGTTGTCAAAACCTTCTACTACTACCTCAACAGTACCAAGGGGAGTTGGGCTTCTGCTAAGATTCCGTATGCTCTACTTGACCACTGCGTTTCTCATCATGGCTGGTAGACCCGGACTTTGGTGCTACTCCCCCAAGGTCAAGTCGGCCTTCCACATCGAGCTTTCCATGGATAGCAAGCTCCTTCTGCATCTCTCGAGCTACCTTAACTGCATTGCCCTCTCTCGAAAAGATGTAGTCCACCTCTTCCAGTTCCAAGTTCGACGTCTCAGGGTAGAGGAAGTAGATGATAGGAATGAAGATGAAATTGGTGATGGTGAAGATTAGATAAGCTTTCCATTGAAGACGGTTGATGATAATCGGTGTGATCATGACCTAAGTACACCCTATGTCAGCATTCGTAGGGCTACGGGAGAAGGAGGAGCGTCAACTTACCACCGTAAAATTCCATAGCCAGTTGGAGCTCACACCGATGGCTGTACCCCTCGTGCGCGCATGTAGAGGTAAAATCTCGGGTACGTACACCCACGGCACGCAATTCATACTGGCACCGAAGGTGAGCATATATGTGAAGAAGAATGCAACCGCGGCAGAAGCGAAAGTTTTCCCTCGCGGAGTTCCATCCGCCTGAGACAGGAGTGCCGATACCATGAGCATCGACACACAGAGGCCTGCAGATCCCCACATCATGGTTGTGCGGCGGCCCATGCGATCCAGTGCCAGGGACGGGAGGAGGGAGCCCAGGGGAAACATGATCTGGATGCACCCGGCGATGATTTGAGCGAGCTTATGCTCCAAGCCAACATTCTTTTGCAAAACAGCTAAACACTTCGATTAGACGAGTGACCTGCAAGGGGGCATCGTGTGACCTACTCATGATGTAATAGACAACCATGTTAATACCTCCAACTTGGTTCATAAATTGGACAAACCATGCCAAAAATACTCGATAGCCCGTGCTGACCTCGTCGTTTCTGAATGTGGAGGCCCAATTAGTGCTCCCCTCTGCCTCAGTCTCGTTCTTCAGAGCGACTTCAATTGCATTCACTTCGCGGACAATATCGGGGTGATCGACCGGCTTATCGTAAACGGCAGAGAGAACCAAGATAGCCTCGTCTCTGTCACCATGGTTAAGAAGCCACCGTGGTGATTCGGGAATTCCGAACACGATAAAGATGACGAAAATAGCAAATACGGCCTGGAAGGCAAGAGGCCATCGCCATGCAAACGGGCCACCAACGTAGCTGAACGCGAAGTCCCACCAGTATGCGAACGCAATCCCAATGCCGACGAACATGACCTCTGCAGAGACGAGACGGCCCCGTTTCTTGCCCTCGCACAACTCGGACTGATACATCGGGACCGTGGATGTCTTCAGGCCGGTGCCAATACCGGTGATGATCCGCCCAGCAATCAGATGGCCACGGTTGAACGCCGTGGCCTGCAACGCGGCACCGATGAGGATCCATACCATGGCAAGCCAGATCGTTCGGCGACGGCCGAGCTTCTCTCCCACGACGAAGTTGGCAAAGCAACCAATCAAACAGCCAAGATTGTAGCTTGAGGTGATGAATCCCGTCAGAGTATCGCCAGGACGGCCGAATTGTTCGAGCCAGTCCTCATTTTCAAGGATACCACCAAAAACACCCTGATCGTATCCTGATGGGTTAATTGTCAGCACACGAACGTGATTCTACTCGTACCAAGCATCCAGCAACCAGATCCATGACCTCGAGAACAACTCACCATACAGGATGAAGGCACACAGACAACAAGATGTAACTGCGAGCTGCAGCTTCTTGCCGCGGCCAAACCAAGTTCTCATGACTGCGGCTAGTATATTTCAATGTCTCACTTGACTTACTTCAAACTGTGAACCTCATGATTGCAGCTTTGCAGGCATTTATATACCTGTTCAAAGCGGGGCTACTTGTTCATTGAGTCGGGTCTTGAACACAATCGTCTCTGTACGAATCAAAACACGTGGAGCGAGACAACGTCATTTCCCCATCTCCAAGGGCCCCGGATTCAACCAAGCTCGACTGGGGAAGAGGTTAACTGTAAACATGCCATTGTTGATGTGGGGAACAGTTCCGTCTGACACTCTCACGATGCTTACGGTTTCCTCAATTGGCAAGCCGGGCAGAAGCCGGACCCAAGTCGCAGATCATCCATGACATCGAGTGCTCATTCAGGCAAGTCTAGCCACTGGGAGCTTGTTTAGTGGTACTGATTCACCGGCCATCGCTCGTAACTCGTTGGAAAGTGCGGCTTTAAGCTGGGAATTGGGTGATGTAAATGCGCGCAAAGCTGCCATCGTCCCTGATCCCTGTCGCCATCAAACCGAACATTATTCACCGATCCTACCTACGAGGCAAACACAAGAAGTCAAGTGATGAATCAGAGGTTTCATTATGTTGCCTAGAGACTAGCATCGTCCAAGACGGACTAATTTATAATAAATAGACTATGAAATCGAGTGCTATCATATGGTCAACTTGAATTATATCATGTGGCATATGAGAATAGCGTTACCGCCCTTCCTTATTACGTGCGGCACCCACATCATCAACCAACCGCTATGGATGTGTTCCGTGAAACCCTGCTGCCTGGGATGGATGGATGCGCCACAACCGGCTGATCCCTGTCGCCCGAGAAATACAGCCCGAGAAATTAACCAGGTGCGGCATCGGTCTCACGATGGGATTTAGCGTATCGTGACCAGCGGCCTTGGGCCGACAGTGAGTTAGTATGATAAGCTCGGTCTTTGCGGCGATAGCAATGTGGCCCAACCAGTAGATCCGGCTGAAGATGAGATGAGAGAAAGATCTTCAAGCCATAGGCAAGAGATTTGAGTGTCGTGTGCTTCGACACAATGTTGGGTCTAGATCTCTCTCTCGTTTCTAATGGGAAGGAAGATATTATTCGGGATGGTACCAGAATCTTTGGCGACGCCAACCCCTCGTCTGTGCTCCGAACCACAAAGAGCAGCAAAAGTGGAAAACCCGGTTCCCCGAGAGAGAACTATCACCGATGCGGTTATGACTCGATGCCGTCTGTATCATCCAAAAAGACCATGACAGGCTTAGCAACTGGATGTAGCTGATAGAGAAGTTATATTCCTCCCTAGACCTCGCTTTTCAACCACACAAACCGTTGGCCATTAAATTTTACAATGTGTATGATACAGACGCGCTTCCCGACTTGGTTGGCTGGAAGATTCTCTGTGTGTTCAGTCTAGCTCTCGCTTGTTACCTTTAGATTTGATAGCAAGTTTGGCACAGCTTCACTTCAGAATATAAACCACCTGTTAACTAACTACATATTTGAGGTGAGAGCCAATGATAAACATTCTCGTGGCAAACCAGGTTCTCTCAAATGTTCGGGGTCAAACATAGGAGGTCCGTTCTTGAATCAATGATGTTCCGTCATCAAACATCTCTTTTAGAAGGTGTGTTTAGGGATCGTAATCTTGGTAGCTGTCCAGGTCTTGCCACCGTCAGAAGTTGAAAGGTCGCCACCAGTGACACCGGAGCTTCTGCCAAGGGTCTGGGAATAATTGGGATCCGCAGTATTGAGGATAATGGTGGTCCCGCTCCAGCCTGTGAAAACGAAAACGTTAGCAGAGATGAAAAGATTCCGTACGAACAAAATCTGGCTGAACTCACTATGGGCAGGAACAGTACCGCAGTTGGTCTCTGCACACTCAACAGCGCTACCAAACCCCTCTGCGTGGCCGTCCTCAGTTGACATGGTATATACGGTGACGCTGTTCACCGAAAGAATCTGTTTATAGGTTGCAGTCGAATCATCGTATTTGTCTAAGACTATCAGCAATCTCGGCCGGCCAAGAAGGATAGCTAAGCAGGTGTTAATTACAGTGGAAGCCGATTTTGTCGCCAGCTTTGGCTGCGAATGAAGGGCCCTGAATAGGAGTTTGTGAGTTGTCTAGGGGTAGGTCATCAATATGTTTTGTTCATATAGAAATGCCCTTGCTTGATATCCTACTTGGGAAACTAACCTCCAGTCTTCTTGAGAGTGTAAGTGAAGACTTCCCAGCTGCTTGATGACGACCAATTATCGGCGATAGACTGAATGAGGTCGCCGTACGAAGTTCCCATGCCAACCCAGAGAGAGAGGTCACCCGTAGAGCCAGTAGGTGATGCAGGGAGAATGAGAGTGGAATAAGCCTCCCGGATCCAAGAGCCAGAGCCAACAGGCCCAGTGCTCCAAGCAGGACCCATTGCTGCATTCACAGAAGTGAAGGCCGTTGTGGCAAGAGCAGCGAAAACATGTTTAACTGAAGGCATGCTGGCGGGTTTTAGAGTTGTCGTGGCCATCAATTATTATGCTTGAATAATGAGTAGATGGTTAATGTGAATTGTTTCGTCTGCTTGATAGGAGCCAAACCGCAGCTTTATATGCGATCTCAAACAACCTACTCATTTCAGCTTTACATGATGCCACTTATCTATGAGCTGTCTTAGGTCTACTTGGTGGGTATATTTCCTGTTCGTGACCTCAATATATCCACGCTAGATCCAAGAACCGGTGACCATCCTGGTAATGGTGCATTGAGCACCGCACAACGGAGAGTGATCCGAACCGATCTAACAACCCGGCTGTCCCGCCGATAGCTTGATTCTTTGTAGTTCTGTTTTCCCTAGCTAGATTCGCGGATAAGACGGCTTGTGTCATTCCCAACTACATTCTATTAGGGCAGGTGGCTTTCCTTATCGGAGGAATCTTTCGGAGCAGCATCCTCCGCCGCCCAAGATCGATAGAAATTACGAGGTACTCACGTATATATAAAAGCTCATAACCTAGCTGTCCGATTTGAGAGTCAATATTGTGATTAATATCCACGAATAAACGGCTAGACGGGATGGCGGCCAACCGGCATGGACCGGGGCCGTAGCCCGAAATCCTTGAAATAACCTCTTTTGCAGATATTGTAGCGCTAAAAGGGGGATTTATTCTCAAAGTGAAGAGTGTATACGAGGTTCACAAGCGAAGAAATGGCAAAGCTTTCAAGCAGGATTGCCATCCGGCGACGTCGTGTGACTTCACCACGCAAAACGGTCAGTTTCTGCAAATCCGGAGTTCTAATAAGTTCTCTCCAAAGTCGTGCAGCCGATCTACTCTAATGATAGCGAAAAGAAGTGATATGAATATGAGGTGCAGAGAGCGGCTTTTTCTAAGTAGGCGGGGAGAGTGGGCAAGGCTGTTATCAAATGGCCCTTAAGCAGAAGTAATCCTAACAACCTTATTCCTTTCTTCTAACAACTATAATATTCTTTTCGAACTTGATTTTAGATATTCGCTTCTCCGGTAAATAAGTATTTTATACATATAACTAAATCAAGTAGTAGAAAGAGAGAAAGTTCTCTCCAAGGATACCTAGTCGTGTCGGTGCGATTTGTTCAAGGTTATCTCAAAGTATTTCATCAAAGTCAACCTTCTTATCATCTTTTTAACTTCCTTTGCTCTCTTCGCTTCATGATATATTCAAGGCAGATTCGGTCTCTAGATGAGGGTTGTAGATGTCTATATACTTTCAAATGATGATATATGTCTTTAAGTTGTCAGCCAAATTGCCGTATCTAGTCCCAGTTGTACCAAATTAGAGATCATTATGGTCGATTCGCCAAGATCTTCGACACTGTTAGGAAGAGTGTAAGCCCGAAGCTACTTGACTATATGAGTTATCGACCTAACTATGATCTGTTATCCTAAGACTACAGTGAGATCTATATCCTCCCTTATCCTTTGCTCGGTCGCCTATATTCCTTTTTGAAATTGTGCTCATCTACTTACTCAGAAAGTAATGAATGCAAGATCCAGTATCTCGTTGTGTTTCCTGTGAGCTCATTGGCGGATAATTCTCATTAACTGGCTCAATACATGACGAGTCTCAACTTCCAACATCAAATGTAATCTTCGGACAAGCTCAAGCAAACTATCAAACTCTCATACATAATCCGAAAAAAGCACATCGATCCTAGACATGATCCCGCTCAGGAAACACTCAGCCATTTCACGTATTACAATTCCATCAACATAGCACATATTGATGACCGTGTCGCCGCCCTTGAGGCCAGCAATGCTGAATTTGACGCCATTCGAGGCCAATTTCCCATTTTTACAGGCAACTGAGTATTACATGTCCTCGATTGTCCACTGTGGCTTCTCCATACCAACCTCGTGGTCGGTTCGGACCTTATCGTTTGAATATGCACCGATGCTGGAAACACCGAATTCATTCCGCGTAACATTACCTATGGCCGGAAACGTCTTGGCGACGATATCTTCGAGGTCAGATCTGACAGCTCTGGTGCTTTTCCAAATCTTCAGCATCGATCCGTCGTTTATGAGTTTATCGGCCGTAGCCTTGTAGGCTCTTGCTAAGTTCCACGTGGGTCGTTTGCTTTCCAATGTCGTCAGGTCCCCGACGGTTGTTCTCTTATATGGAGCACGCCAATGCTATATGTTTAGTCCTCCCGTCGCCTACATGATTGTGCCAGCTTTAGTGCCACCCCCTATCTTCGATACAGGTAGGAACTTGCGCATATCACATGGTAACCCGCTGCATTCCATGATTGCATCACCATAGAAGTCGTTCGCTAGATTGTGAATAGCCATAGAGGCAAAGAAATATATGAATGTGATTTGATTAGCGCGGCAAGCGTTGAGGGTTCTTGCCATCTAAGGTGCTTCGATACAATGGGACGACACTCGAATTACAACGCAGGTTCCGCATCCGCCGTCGCTGATCCAGGGTTTATGACGCGGAAGTATACTCCAGAGAAGCCGAGTGCTAATTAATAGTCCCATTAGAAAGAACCTAAGCTATACCCTAAGGCCAAGATGAGTCCGGTCTTGATATCTGAGGTTTCGGTTGGCTCGAGCGGGAAGGTAATTCCACTTGGGTCTTTAGTTCTATCTTTTTTCGCTCAACTCTCCTACTGGTTCTGGGATGGAATTCAGTCCATCCATGAATTCCTTTATGGAATACCTGCGTGGACCTTCCATCTCCCACATAATGGTGCATAATGAAAACTGCATTGTCGCCCTTGAGGATTACCCGCCACCAGGGGTGACTTAGCTCTTTCTCCGTGAACACCCAGTCATCGTGAATCTTCTCAAGGAGAGACGGGTTCACGCCTACCTTTCCATCATCAAAAATAATCTAGACACACTCTTCGAGATTGATGGTATGCATCGCAGTATGAAGTCAGTGGTAGCCCCTTTTCGGTGGGGGGCGGATGACAAATATCGTGCGCAGTCGTGCGTGCGATCAGGATATTTGTCATCTCCATGAGTATAGTTTGCTGAGATCACAAGGTTCGATTGTATCCCTAATTGGTAATAGGGGTACCACATGCCCTCATAGTAGGCTGGCATGACTTTTAGGTGACGTCAACTCATCTCATAAGATTAGGAACCAACCAGCCTCGCAAAGCAACGTGTAATGAGGTGATGCGTTTGCCATTGCCGCGTAAGTCACCGGGATATTTACAGAGGAGGATGACTGGTCGTTTTTTTCCCCCTGATTTCTTTCCAGGTGCCCCCCAGATTTTAAATAGACCGGAACATCGCAGGGGTTCTGTCCGCTGTTCATGACGGATTCCCATTCAATCGAATTAGCACAGTCCACAAGCTTACGCAAATTGGATGAGATATGAAGCCAGGCCGGAAGTATGGCGGGTCAACTTCGAATTCGACGCCTGGTTTTGAGGTCCTGTGTAGACGTCAATCTTATTGATTGAGAGATGACAAACCAGACTGGACTCCATATTATCGCAGGGGGGTGTTAGGTAAGCTGTTGATAGGTCTCTCATCAGTTCTCAATTCGATATACTTCTTCTCTCTACCCCCTTTGTCTCTAGTACGTGGAAGCCTACCATATCATTGAGATTTCATACACGGTGTCACAATCTGAGCAGCATTCATTTACTATTAACAAGCAGTAAATTGGCGGATATTTAAATCCAGCAAGTCGTAACTAGACCATTATATACAGTTTTATATCCCTAAATGCAAACATGCCGCTTATTTGACGTACTTCTTTACAACCTCAGCAACATGCTCGTCAGTAAGGCCTTTGAGGCCGAGCAGCTCGTTGTCCGTCTTCTTGAAGTTGCCTCCGTAGGCCGGGTCGAGGATGGCGCGGAAGAGGTAAGGCACAAAGGTCTCGAAGTCAAAGAGTCCCTGGGCTAGACGAGCGTCAGCCTTGGCCGTTACATCGTCGATCTTGGCGGCTTGGGGCTCCCAGGTCTTGGAGGGGTTGGCCTTCTTGGCGAGCTCCAGGAGCTTGTTCTGGGTGATCTTGGTGTCCTCGATGTAGACAGCTCTGTTCTTGGTCTCTTCGGGGTGGCTGAGAACGCCGACAACAGCGTCAGCGACAGTGCTGAGGGTGGTGGCGGAGAAGGTGATGTCACCACCGTCAAAGATGGCGGGCTTGCCGTCGGCATGGCTCAGGAGGAAGTTATGCTGCAGGCCCCAGTCGAGGAAGGCAGAGTTGTACACGAATGTGTAGGTAATGGGAGAAGTCTTGGCCTTCTCAATGAGGTAATCCTGGACCTCGACCTTGTGGGCAAAGACGGGGAGCTTCCTGGTGTTGGCGAAATCTAGGTTTGAGCCAAACTCGGAGGGGATAACGCGGCTAACTCCAGCTGCGATAGCGGCGTCGACCAGAAGCTTCTGTCCTTGGAGCAGAGGGGTGCCGACGGAAGAAACGAGAGCATCCTGGCCCTTGAGGGCGGCAGTGAGCTCGTCAAGGGAGTCGAAGTTGACATCGATGACCTTAGTACCCTCGGGGAATTTGGAAGAGGATCCGTGGCGGCGGAGGACAGTGATATTGAACTTCGAAGCGTTGAGACGCTCAAATATGACTGTTCCGAGGCTGCCAGAGGCACCAGTGATGGCGACGTTCTTGATAGCAGACATGATGTGAATCAAATTGGCGATATATCTCGGTTGTTTATAAAGTAACTGATGGCTGCGTTGCGTTGGTATGTTTGTGTGGGTGTATTGATGAGATGTATGTGAAGGGAGGAGAGCGACCACCTTAAATAGAATATGGGATTGAATCCCCTCTTAATCCCATATGGCTCAATAATCTACTGAATGGTGATTCATGAACCTTCTTGTCTCAATGCTCTGTCATATAGCTTCTCGTCATCGCACGCAAGACCGCTAGTTTCTGTCATCAAGGCTAGGGTACATGCGTTTGTGTGGTATCTTGGTGCAAAGCCAGGTACCGATATTCCTGGCGGCTGCGCCAATTCATCCCACAAACTGCCGGTATCCCACAGCAGCCGGCATCCCACACCAACCCCACCCAGTTCCAGCGAATCCGAGATGGAATCAGACGCTTGAAGTTAGTGGGATGGCGGTAAAGCGTGATACAGAGAAGGCAACGGCCGCAATTCATCCCACCGGCATAGCATTATAAATAATCAACCCAAGAGCGAAATCCTCCCACCTTATTAGGCCTTCAGAACTCAATGGTTCGGGACATTAATAAATGCCGATGAGTAAGTCAGTCAAACGCCACTTGGAATTTCAAACATGCCAGCATCGAGGTCAAGTGGGCCTCAAGGTTTGGTGCTTCAAACACCCGCTCGGCAACGCATTAATGATTTCAAAGCTGTGCATGAAGCTTGTTGGCATTACCTGTTCGGGAACCGAGATGTTCTTATATTTTCATATCTAAACGTATTGATCTATCTGTCATAGAGTTGTAATTTTCATTCCTTTTTTTTCCCCTTTGAAGTTAAGCTGTTTTGCATCAACAGTCTGCCAAGATGAACTTTGAATGATATTAGAGATAGCTAGCAAATAGCTTGGCTATGAATTGTTGCACTAAACAAAGTATTCAGCGCAATTATATCCATGCCTCGTAGTTGTAATTGTCACACTGTCTACCAATCCAATCCGCCGTCCCATATAACGTCAGCTCATCGGCAGCCAGTGGTCTATCCAAATGCCCACACTTAAGGCGCTCGTTAAGATGCATGAGATACTCTAGGCCGCACCTTTGAGCCCTTCGAGTAATCAAGCTCAGCGTTCCGAGATGTTTTACGCAGAAGCCAGCTAATAACCAACTTGTGTTATTCGATCTGGAGATCTTAGTGGGTTGTAAGGGTAGGACAGGGAGGTCTCTGAGGGCGCTTCTGGGAGCCAGTGCGTAACAACCTCATAAGTCCTAAGAAATTCTAACAAGTCCTCAATTATGGACAGGTCGAATACTTGCAGTGCATATGTTCAAGAGCAGTCACGTTTCGAAGTAAGCGACACGTGCGCACAAAAAATGGCAGGCTGTGAGTAGCATGAGTCTTCTAAAACCGACTTTGTGTATTCAATCATAGAATATATAGCCGCCATTAAAAAGGCCTCAAGCGTAAATTATTCAAAGTTTGAGTAAAATCATTCTTGTTTTTCTGGTTTTCTAGAGCTGGTAAAATTATCCCACAGCCCAAATCGACTCTGCTGGCAATCAAGGCCCCCAAACAGAGTTCAGAATCCAACAAAGATAAGGAGCTGGGTTTCTCACTTCTTTCCAAGTCGCTCTTTCGTCTTAGTTAGAAAAATATCTAGCCTATCCTCCACTCTTCCGAGAAATCTAGCCCTTATTCAAATGACATCGCGTCTCCACTTTGCCCGATAACCGCCTCAGCTCAAGCGACTGAGAAAAAAACATGGCACACCAGAGCTCTTCCCGCGCAAGCTGGAGATCTCGTTTTCTTATTAGTGGTACAAACATAGTAATAAGAAGATAATAAATTATTCTACGATATTTAGCTGAATATTATATTTATTACTGGGTTACTTATTCTGATATGGTACCGGAATTCAACGCTAGAGGATGTGGTGTGTCATATTTTAACTCAACACTGATCAAGGAATTCTCGGTGCCTAGGCTAATTATGCAGCGATTGGGCACCTTGACTAACGGATGGATAAACAACTTGCTACAAATGGATATATATAGTCAATTAGATAAACCGATTAGAGCAGGCAAATCCGAGTTGCTGGTGTCTTCACTTGTCATCGGCCTACCCTACATCTCCAATAACTCTATCTTCAAAACACCAGAGTGGTCTACCAATCATCCATAGGATGGCGAGTCTACAAAGAGGTTATTGCGTACTAGGATTACGGACTAACATATTGGACCTATATTACAGAAGTGAGTTAAACTTGTTTTGCAATTGTTCGTTTGGTTGTTCAGTGTAATGAGGGTTTATCTTGAACCGTACGCCAAAAGGAGCATAAATTTGCCATGGAAATCTCTGCTCTCTAGAAATTCACGCTCGAATACGTCACATTCAGGCACAATACAACCCGGAACTTAACTAAATGCACAGCCGAAATGTTGCCATCCAAATCCCGACCGGCTCGGGCTGCTGCGATGCAACTACGTAGCTTCGAGAAAACATGAAACAGCGAATTATGACGAGTACTGGGCCCACGCAGAAAACATACGTAGGCGAGCTCTCCACATCGTGGAACTGCTGACAAACGGCAGCAAGCCGGCTGTCACGACATGGGCGAGCCGCTGTGGAGACGTGCTTTTCTCGAGGGTTCTGGTGGAGTATATCCACAGCCTGGTGCTATGCAGGTATTATATATGCACC